TTGGGGCGTGTGAATGTGCTGGTGAATTGTATGTATGTGTATGTAGGGGTGAGGTGTGTGTGTGTGTGTGTGGTTGGGGGTGTGGCCGAAACCCTCTGGAAGGCCCGGTGGATGTGGCCACGTCATTGTTTAAAGATCCTGGTGGCGCGCTACACCACCTGCCTCTTCCACACAACACTCACAACTTTTTCCCCAGCGCCTGCAGGAGCAATGACCAACCACAGTTACTTCCCCCCCGGTCAGTCTTCCTCCGAGGACGGCCAAGGGTCGCCACGCTCACGCTACCTCACCCGTATAGGCATCAACACTACCTAGATACACACTTTACCATAAAGAAGGTCCCGGTAGTGCAGTCGGATTCGTTCTCGACACACACTCGAGAATTCCGGGTTCGAATCCCGAGCGGGACAGAAATAGTTAGCACATTTCCATTCACCTAATGCCTCTGTTCACCTAGCAGCAAGTATAGGTACGCGAGAGTTCACGGTCAGCTTGTTGTGGGGGGGTTGCATCCTGGGCGTGGTCAGTAATTTGACCCTGGGGGGGGGAGATCACGATAAAAGCCTAACGTATATGCATACACTCTGGCTTCCTGTCCCCCGACACAGTGAATTAAATAACCACACGTGTGTGTGGGGAGGGGGGGGGGAAGTGGTGTGGGAAAGGGTGGGGGAGGGGGGAGGAGGGGGGTACACAGGCTACACCTAAGTAATGTACAGTGTAAACAATGGGCTCTTGAGTAACGCCGACAATAGTACCCCGCCCGCCTGCGTAGGGGCTAAATCCGGCTAGCGTAGGTGCTAAATCCGGCCAGCGTAGGTGCTAAATCCGGCCAGCGTAGGGGCTAAATTAGGCCAGCGTTAAGTGGTAAATCCGGCCGGAGTAACAGTTAAATCCGACCACCCTACGACTGTGTTCATAAATGTTACTACATTTATACGCAGTTTACTGTAAGTGACAAATTACATACAATGATCACTTCACGGAATGACAGAATAGTGTTCAAAACTACTTCATATTTACAATTAGTAATAATAACTGAAAAATAAACAACGGCAGTGTTGATAAAAAAAGGTGAATAATTACTGTATTAAAAAATTGCAGTAGAATTGGTGGATTTGTAGAACTTTGCCTCTAAGTTACCTTGAGTTGGTCCCGAGTATCAATGTCCTTGCGGCCCGGACTCTGAGCAAGCCTAACTGTGGCTGTGGAAATCCTGTATAACGTAGATAGGATTTGTAACCTACGATAATACCCGCAGAAATATTGAATTTAATCGCGTTTTGATGTTATTTTTGTAGTTGTATATTACTAAGAGTGTACAGAGCGCTCTTCGGGAACTTTACCCTAAGCTCGTTTGTCAAAGTTGCTTCGCTTGGAATGTGTATGAGGCTGTGGTGGCAGGTACAGTTTACCCTCTTGGACCTTTAGGTGCCTCACCCTCCCTCCCACAGCCACCACACATTCACGTAACCTCCCAGCCTTCCCCCCCCCCCCCACTCCTGGAGGACTTCCTCCCTTCCCTCCCCTCCCTTCCCATGTCCTCTCCCACCACCCTCGCCCTCCAACACGTCTGCTAGGCTCTCCCACACACCTGGCTTTAGACATACACCTACACACCCGCTTCCCAGTGAGGTAAGCGAATATTTGTGTCCAACCTCCTTCCTTCCACAAATGTTGGCATGTACACATTAGTCATACGTTTCCTGTGAGAGCCAATTCCTGGACGTACTGTACCTCCTTCTTAGTTTTTTCAGAGGTGGGTACAGAAACAGACGATATCTGAACGTTTGACTCTTATTAGCAAGCTTAGAGCTTTCCACGCCCGTAGCTCAAACTATATGACAAGTTAAACTTAAAAAAAAAAATAAGTTACAGGGGCTGTGTCGAGTACTATTATATTGAGATCCCCACCTTGCACGATGGTAAACTTTGGATGAATTATGAGGATATGGTGGTATATAGAGAAAAAGTGCACGGACGAATATATATACTCAGGAACTGTAACTGGAACCATCGCATAAACGCAGGAGGACTTCCAAGCCTAATGATTGCATGGGGCCGGAATATACGAACGGAAAGTTAGTCGAATGTACAGAAGGACGGACGAACGGGCTAGCAGACGGTAGGACTTATAGATAACCTACTTTGTTGAACTTGAGGAAAGGTAGGGGGTCTGGGAGGAGGGAGAGCATTGGGAAGGAGTTGTTCAGGAGGAGGAAGAGGGTCGGGAGCCGCGGTCTGGGGGTGACCTGACCACTCTCAGGAAGTGGCGCCGGTTCATGTCTGCGGAAGGGGCAGGGGTGACGCTTGGGAGGGGAGAGATGATCAAGCAGGGAGAGGTTGTGATGTCTCGGGGGAAAAGTTGTTGCAGTTCTGTATATATGCTGGTGATGAGCGTATAGTAGTGTTTAGTTTTTAGTTTAGTTCATTTATTATGCACCTCATACCCATCTTGTGGGCGGTAGTGGAAAGGGTTACAGAGGCACATAATGGCTCAGGGACTGAACCCCACAATTCATTTAGCTAAGCAAGTTACAATCTTGATGATCTAGTTACAGTAGTTGTGGAGGATAACGCTGGCGTTATTTGATAAGTTTTCTGGTTAAGAGCAGGAAGAGTGAGGCATACAGAGCCATATGATACAACGAGAAAGTTTCCAAATATCGAGTGAGAGGTTGCATGAGTGAGTGCTCTGGTTAAATAAACCTGGTAATGATTAATATATTAACACCAAAGCTATTAAGTAACAGGAGTTCAGATTACTCAGCTAAGCTCACATTGGTCAACTCCACCGGTGCATCTACATGCATACAAACTGTTTAAATCAGATTACCCAAGGGCTCTCTCGCAGTAAGAGTGGAAGCTCGTGGTGGTTTAGTTGATTGAACCAATGGATTTGTATAGTGCAGGCTGATTTGGTTCTCACCTCCGGTGTTTTATGCAAAGCTGGGTAGAATATTTGTGAGATTTTTCTTCCCGGTTATATCCTCCTAGTTAAGAAGAAAGATTAAAGCGTATACACACAGAAATCACAATAGCGTGATGCATCAAATGAACAAATCCACAAGGGCCGTGACGAGGATTCGAACCTACGTCCGAACGTCTGGGATGCTCTCGGACGTAGGTTCGAATCCTCGTCACGTCACTGCCCTTGTGGATTTGTTCATTAAAGCGTATAGTAGGTTACTGATGAGTCGCTGGGTCTGTTAGGAAAGTTTAATTTATCAATATTACCTCTTTCACTGGCGCCGTATTAAAAAATAAGCATATAATATTTGCATCAGATTTACAAATTTTGGTCAGACTCCCCACCATGAGCCAAACCGGAAGGGACAGGGGGCCTGTACCCAACTAAGCTACAGTCGAACCCATTCTAAGTGGAGGGAACATTCTTATAGTCTGTCTCATATCTTTTGGTCAGAAGATGGACTTCGCAAGCCACACTCGACTGCTCTCCGGGATGCCAGAGCTCGCACGCTTCCTTCCAGGATGTGATTTAACAAGAGAGGTCAGGAGAGGCGCTGGTGTGGGAGAGGGGAAGGGGATAGCCAAGTGATGCATTGGGCCAAGGTTAGGCAGCGCTCACCGTTAGTTGCAGTAAAAAAAGTAGACATCTGATTTAAATATTGTTGATTTACAGCAATAATTCGTTTATATTTTGCATGATAATGGGTTGTTTGATACAGGAAAGTTTGGTTACGCTGGAGGGGGGGGGGTGATGCGGGTAAGTGGTCGTGGGGAACAGTTTGGGTATTTTATTTAACGTATAGGGATGAAATAGGAATGGTTGAGGCAGAGATGTTTTGGGTAAAACTGAAAAAAAGAGATGTGTATGTATGAGACTGATAGATTGGTGTTATGTATGAGTGTTTACGTTAATGCTGGAAAAATGAGGTGGTTGAGGAGGTAATTTGCACAATGGTATTTTGGTTACATTAGGGGCGAGGTAAGGTGGCTGATATACTGAGCCGGGTGTCGGTTCCCTTGAGAGTATGATTGGGTGTCATCAAACGTGCCCAATGTCTCTTATTTGCCAACCAGTAAATAGATCCATGGAAGTTAGGCAAATTTTGTGAATTGCATCCTGATAAAGGTTAATCGTTACCAAATGGGGGGGAACTTGGTAAGTGTGGCTAACAGGCTTGCTATCCCTGATAATGGTGGACACTAGATGGGTCGCCAGATCAAAACAAAAAATTATGTACCTGTATAAACCGATTTCCCTATCATTTACACTAGTGATTTAATTTTTTAGGGTAATTTGTATTTGTGATTTATCATTGATTATCGATTCTTAGCGAAACTGGTGTAACTGTAGCAGCGAGTAAGACATGGTGTGCGCTTGCTGCTGGAATGCTGTTAGACATCTACGTAAAAAATGCAACTTTTTATACGCTGGAGTGGAAATTTGCGCGCGCACGCATGTGTGTGTACTCACCTAGTTGTGCTTGCGGGGGTTGAGCTCTGGCTCTTTGGTCCCGCCTCTCAACCGTCAAGCAACTGGTGTACAGATTCCTGAGCCTACTGGGCTCTTATCATATCTACATTTGAAACTGTGTATGGAGTCAGCCTCCATCACATTACTGCCTAATGCATTCCATCTAACTACTCTGACACTGAAAAAGTTATTTCTAACGTCCCTGTGGCTCATTTGCGTACTCAGTTTCCACCTGTGTCCCCTTGTTCGCGTACCACTCGTGTTAAAAAGTTTATCCTTATCTACCCTGTCAATTCCTGGATTTTTTTTGTTGGCTGATTTGGATTAGTTTATTTGGATAAAAGAAAATGGAATTTTTACAGGACGTACAGTAAAAATGTACATCTAAGTGCACATACAGCGTCATGCAATGGGAATGATTAATATATTTTGAAGAATAAATCATAATTGATAAGTTACGATAGAAATTATTACAAGAAAGCATCTAATCGGGTTGATGTCTGCTGCGGTTATCTTTACTATTAACTGAATAATGAAAGCTAAATGTTTATCCCTTCAGATACATTTGCCGTGACTTATCCCTCTGTCGTGAAAACTCCTGCCGGGTTACGAAGATGCCAGGACAGTGCCCAAGATGCCAGAAGGCTGTATACTTCGCCGAGGAGAAGATTGTGTTGGGTCGTCCCTACCACAAGATGTGCATCAAGTGCGGTGAGTTTCATCACGCCCAACCACTTGGGCTAGGACGGTAGAGCGACGGTCTCGCTTCATGCAGGTCGGCGTTCAATTCCCCGACCTTTCAAGTGGTTGGGCACCATTCCTTCCCCCCCCCCCCCGTCCCAGCCCAAATTTTTATCCTGATCCCTTCCAAGTGCTATATAGTCGTAATGGCTTGGCGCTTTCCTCTGATAATTCATCTCATCACAGCAAACTACTGTACCTATAAAGCCAAAGTATTTTGAACCATCATCTTTTATGATATACCGGGTATTTACTTTACAATTTCTCACTTGGTACTACGTAAATTTACTCAAATTCAAAAATTCAGGTAAAGTACGTACATACAAGGGGTGATACAAATATTGATGAATTTATAGATAGAGCTAGTACATACAATGCCTAAAGCTACTATTACGCAAAGCGTTTCGGGCAGGAAAAACACTAAAGACTAAAACTTCATACTTAATGCTTATGTTCTTAACGAATATTTTCTTCAACAGCCAATTGTAACAAACTCCTGGACAGCAGCACATTCACCGAGCACAATGAGGAGATGTATTGCAAGAGCTGTTATGGGCGGCTCTTTGGCCCAAAAGGGTATGGATATGGTGTTGGTGCAGGGGTCCTCTCCATGGATGATGGCACAAAATATGAGGTTAGCACTATATAGTATTTACTACCTACCCCGTGTCTCTGTCCTATCTAGAGAATTCCTTCACAAATCACCTTTTAAACTGTCAAGACTTAGGTAATGTAGTTGAGGGGCGGGACCAAAGAGCCAAAGCTCAACCCTTGCAAGCACAACTAGGTGAGTATATGGTAAATTGGTAACTATATGAACTGCATTTAAAAATCTAAACAAGGAGGCTTTCAAGTTCCTATACCCTGCATATATGAGGTCATTACTGGAATAATTATGCATTAGGACTTCCCTTACATACATATATATACATACATACATACATACATACATACATACATACATACATACATACATACATACATACATACATACATATGAAATATGATGACCTGGGGATGTGTGTCTTGATCACTTATGATCAAAGCATGCTATAGTATAGTATAATGTCCACATTTTAGGTTCCACAAATGAATCATGTAATGATTGATGATTTAATTTTAAATTTGATGTATATTTTTCTATATTTTTTTAAATGAATAATTGATATGCATATCTGTCTCATTCATTGTTTTTATAGTGTATGCTCCATTGAAGAGTTGTTCTGCCATCTTTTAACTCAAACAATATGTTTCCAGAATGGCCCTCCTAAGAGCAATATCCCGGCAACCATGGAAGCTTATGTAGCACCACTCAAAGAGCCAGCACCGGCAGTAAAACCCGTACGACCCAAATGGGGAGGTGCGGACTATTGCGTCAGATGCTGTGAGTTGTGGTGGTTTTATTGTTTTATAGCTAAATTAATTTTTGTATCTTCTATATTTGGAATAGACATTTATAGAAACCTACTGGAATTCAATAATTTATTTTGGACCCTTCTGCTGCATTTCATCCTCTATTTTTTGTAAATTTTCTGAGCACAACTTGTGTACATATTCTGCACAGTATTTGTTCTAGGTTTGAATCCTGGCCAGGAGATTTCACTAAGCTTCAGTCCTTTACTGTTCGCTTCTGTTCACTCAGCACTAATTGGGTGCCTGGTTGTTAACTGATTAGTGGGTTGTGTTCCAGGGAAAACTAGTCGGTAAGGCTTACCATGCATGAGATATGGTAACAGAAATCTCTGAAAAGTCATAAGTCATCTGTTCCTGTACTCACCTGTGCACCTTGACAACACAGGTGACCACAGTTGAGAGGCTCCTGCTAGTACTGTTTTGTGTACCTGTACTAGCATGCTGTTACACTGACCACCACCAAGTGACAACACTATATATTTCTGGATTACCCTCATATTTTCAAAATGTAGCAAGTTTGTAAAGTGCTACCTGACTAATACTGTATTGTCATTTTTACTTTTAGCTAAGCAAGTGTTCATGGCAGAGCGAAAAATGGCAGCAGGAGGGGCATGGCACAAAGCATGCTTCAACTGCCGTGAGTGCCACAAGTGTCTTGACTCGCATTCAATTCGTGAACGTGAACAAGATATCTACTGCAACCGTAAGTTTCTGCTCCTATAAAAATTGAAATGTTTCTGCATTCATCAGATATAAATTTAGGCTAAGTTTAAGGTTACAAAATAAAGGGAAATGTTTGTCAAATGGATTACAGTAGTAATCAGAACCAGACCTAGTTAATGTTCTATGAGTTTCCATTGTACAGTAAATCTTAATTATTCAATTAAGTGGAACACTAGTAATAATGACCCTCAGGTAAATTCAGGTAAAGGTAAATAAATAACATTACATTTCTCTTTCAGCATGCTATGGAAAGAACTTTGGGCCTAAAGGATATTGGGGATGGTCATCAGCCAAGGTGTCGTAAATTTTGGAATCGGGAATTTGAAGACGCATGATCTGGGTTCACCTCATCTTGTCCTGTTTGTGCACCTCTAGTTTAGATGTATTTAGTAGGCTCACATTTGCTATTTCCAAATAAGATTATTAAAATGACTCCTCTATTATGGTAATTACATAATCTTAAGGTGTTGTGAAACAAAAAATGTATGTTTGAGAAACATATGCTAGTATGATGTTGTTTGTAAATACAATAGGCTGGATGGCATTATTAATACTACATGAAATATTCATGAAATTAGGAAAGCTAATTGCAGTTTAGCAACTTTTAATATTATATATATATATATATATATTATGAAGTATATATAAATTGTATATTTCCTAAATTTGCATAATATACATGTTGGTCACATTTAATTGGTATAATCAACTCCTGATCAGTGAATTGACATCTTTTCTTAACAGCTATCATACTGTCTTCAGAACATCAAGCACAAGTTTATCATTTAAATATTAAGTTTCTTGATGCTCTATCAAACCATTTAATCATTTATAATTTTCCTTTTTTTTATCTATCTACAGTATCAAGTATTTATTACTTTTAGGACTGTAGTGACAAATGACATTCTGTAGCTATGCAATTAACTTTATTTTTAATACGAATGTAAGCTGTTAAACATAGGCATGATTCATTTAATTTTAATTATACTAGGCATTAGAGAAGAACTGTTGTGACAATAGTACAATACTGGTACTGTATTTGGTGTTGGACAATTGATCTTTATTTTAATGGTCCTAAACATAGTTGGTCTGTCTCTGACTGTGGCAGGTGCCAAAAACCAAGGACTGTAAATTCTGTGATGATTAATTGTTTCTGTGCATGTGTGAAAAAACCTTCATATGATTCTGGGCCCATAGATTGCAGTATTGTAAAATAAAGTGTTAAATTCAAAAAATAAATTACATTGCTATTTTTTATAAAAGCTCCAGGATGATAACCAACAGTAGTCTTAGTTTTGTATTCATCCCTATCACATTTTCTTTTAAAAAGAAATTAATGTTTGTTGAAGGCATACTTGTAATTTTCAATTTGTAATCATGGATTTAGTTTTGAACCAATTACTTTACAAATAAATTATTACTTTCTTGATATTTATTTATAATATTGTCTGTAATTCAGTGGGTGATCTTTATCCTCCTCATAAATTATATCTGCAAAAGCTGCCATTATTGTACTTCCTACAGGATGGCATTCATATAAATCAGGAGTAGTTCTGGTCCAGATGCTGAACCCTATGGAACCCTTCCTCCCACTACAGCCCAGTTTCCTCTTTGATACTCTAATCCAGTCCTGTATCTTCCCAATTACCTAAGTCTTTTTTTTCCAAGCAATCAGACTTTTTGGCATTATTGGAAGAATGCAAATCACCCATCTTTCTATCAGTGATTCATATCCAAAGTTTAAGGCCTCATGTCTATCTCCTTTGTTGAATATGAGCACCACCTTTGCAGTCTTCCAGGTTTCTGGACATTCCCTCTTTTCTAATAAAACATTAGATTCTAGTTAGTGGATTACATAATAGCTGTTGCCTTAATATCCAAGGTAAAATAAAATATTGCTCTACTATTTTGCTTATACAGTATCTGAATTCTGCAGGGTGTTTCTTTGTTCCTCAACCGTTACTACCATATCATCTATAGTGGATTCTACCACTCAGACTAACACAACCCCCACTTGGCAGGAAAATTCAGATCTGCAAAAGCAGTGCATTCAACAAGTTAAAAAAATATTATCATACTTTTTCCTGGGTCCTGTTGTGTTAGCCGAGGAATTGTATATGACCACAACTATTATGTTGTACTCTATTGTTACCATGACTATGGTGTAGTTGTATGAATTAACAACCTCTGGTATGGGTATTTCTTCAAATCTATAATGTATCTACAATAGCATTACTTTTCTCCCTCTACCTTTGATTAGTATTTATTTACTAGTCACTTGCTAAACTCTTGGAAAAAAAAAAGAGTACATCCTGAATGATTCTTTTATGTTTCATTTCTATAATTGGAATGGTGTGTGTTGTGTCTGTCTGTATCTTACCCATTCCTGCTGGGAGTAAACATTTTAGGATATTTCCATGGAAACTGTCAATAAAAGATAGTTTTATCTTTTATATTGGAAAACATAACTGTCTAATGATGTATGTACATCTAAGCTATTTTTAATATTTTTGGTCACAATTATTATATTTTTATTAATGTAAACAATATTGCACACATTTGAAACTATTTTAATATGGTACTGAAACCCCTTAGAAATGTAAATTTTAAATAAAAAATTAACTAGTTTTTGTAAGTTTTTTGTACCATAATCATATCCAGCAAATATGCAATTTAAACTTATGACCGGAACATTGTTTTCTGTCATTGCAACCAAGCCACATCCAGGTTTACATAAAACCACTCGCTTTATATTTGGGTATATGTAGTGTACTACATACACACAGACAAAATGCAAGAATTCTGAGGGCCCAAAGACCACATTCACTTCAAATATCTACCACCTACGGGCTATTCATGCTCCTGCCACCTCTTGTGGCAATCAATCAATACAATCACCTCAATCAATCAATGCAAGAACTGAAGCCAAACCCCTTGTAAGCATAGGTAAGAAAGATGGTAGAGCCAGTCACTAGCAGGAGAAACTGCCAGCTTCAAGTATGAATCTTCTATTACCTCCAGTATTTCAATTTGTAGTTCCATGGCATTGTTAACTATTAGTTTATGATGGAATTTGTAATATCTGTTTTGAAATATATTCCAGTGATTATATAGTTATATCTGAATATCTAAAGCTATTGCAGTAATTGCTGAACATTTTTGTGGATACATTTGAGTACTAGAAGATTAGTAATTTATCTTTTCAGTAGATTGATAAAGATTAAGCCACCCAAGAGGTGGCATGGGCTCGAATAGCCTGTAAACTTATCAGTAGTGCTAGAGCCAGACTGAGGCAAAATAGGCAAGGTCTGTTTTGGCTAATAACCAGAACATTTTGTTCAGGTTCTTATATCTCTACAGAAAAAATCAGATCTTAATGAAATGAACAAATCACTGAGAACAATAATTTATTAATAATACTGGTTTGGGATATTTCTGGAATAAGACGCATGTTAAGTAATTTTTGGTTCAAGTTGGAAACAAAAAATTTGATGTAGGTTGCATTACAATGAAAATATCTTAACAGCCCACAACACGTTATTTTAGAAAAGTGTAAAATACAATACTCTATAGTATAAGGACATTCTTCTTGTTAAGCAACTCTGGCTATCATGTAGAATATATATATATATACTGTACTATATAATTACTGTACAGTGTAGTTTGCAAAATCCAAACTATAATTTCTGACCTGATTCAGATTTACACAAAATCTGGATTTTCAAATATTTTACTTCTTGGGGACTATTTACAACTGTTTACGAACCTTCTTAGAACAATTGATAGAAAATGAATTTGCACATTAACAAATGCTATAGAAGCTTATGACTTGTTATGCAATTTTACATTATGATAAATTTTGTACTTACCTTAATGAAGGCAACAATCCTGTGGCTTGAAAAATATATAGCACAGTGCTTGTAAACTGCTTGATCAAACCTATTAGTATTTGAGCCAAGAATTTGTATTTCAATCTTTTCAACACTTAGAACTGTTTTCCCTGACTTTTTTTAAATGTCAGATATGATCCACATGCAACACTAAAATGTATCTGCCAGCATCGTTACTGTATACAGATATAACTTTGTTTGTCCATGTTATGATACCTGGTCTAGCCATACAACTCTTGCTGGCAAACATCTTTTCTACTCACAAAATTAATTATTGAAAAAAAAAATGCACCACCACCACAACAGACGATAATTTGTTGTTGACAACGACCACCCACAAAACAAGTCACAAACTATTGGTAGCAGATGACCATCCACAGAAAGCAAGTCACAAACTATTGGTAGCAGATGACCATCCACAGAAAGTAAGTCACAAACTATTGGTAGCAGATGACCATCCACAGAAAATAAGTCACAAACTATTGGTAGCAGATGACCATCCACAGAAAATAAGTCACAAACTATTGGTAGCAGATGACCATCCACAGAAAATAAGTCACAAACTATTGGTAGCAGGTAACCACCCACAGAAAATAAGTCACCAATTAATTGTATTATACAGTACTATTTACACTGCTGTACTACATAAATTTGGTAAAACCACATACAAACTATATTTTGTTAATATCTGCTAATAGCACAAATATAAGAGGAATTAATCTGCTTAAAATTATTACAGTACAGTATACAATAATTCCAGTTTTACCACAAATGTTAACTTATTTGAACCCAAATCCAAATTTTGGATGGGTGACTGGACTAGAATATTGGTTTGTTTAGGTGAATGAATTGTTAAAATATCTGTACTGTATTTTGTCTAATACTGAATGTAAATGTATTATATAGAATATGCTTTTTTCCGTTACCTGTAAAATTATTTGAATTTCTGTCTATAAATGCTAAGTACACCTTTCTTTATATAAAGGTTTCAAGTGTTTACATCTTCACAATCCCAAAATACTTATTTTCATCTTCAGCTTGATTTATTTCAAAATACATTAAATGTACAGTAGTATTTGTAAATTACAGATCATTGCTGTTCAGTTGTACATGCAGATTTTATTTTGTACCAATGTGTCTACATTTTTGATTGAGGAAAGTACATTTGTTCATTCTCTTTAATCTTAATTTTTCTTCCCTTCTTAAAAGTATGGTTTCATTCCAAAACCTTGGTGGTCAGGTGACCTGTCTTTCCCTGTGGGCTGACTAAGATTTATCTGCCAAATCTTTCCTTCCCACTTTCAATTTTGCTTTCATGAAGGCGAATTGAGCTGAAAACGCGTTCAACATTCTCATTGGTGAAATTAAACTACAAGAATTTTTTTTATGAAAATGGACACTTTCTAATCAATCAAATATTTATTCCCATACATGTAATACAAACTATTATTACATAAAAAACAGCTACTATACATTGTTTTCAATTAAAAAAAAAAAATCAATGATTTATATGAATAATATTCTTGTTTATTTTAAATATAATAATCACATGTTTAAAGTGACATTTCCATAAGTATGAAATCCCTAAAAGGAACAAAAATGCAAACATAAAAGTTGACCTCAAGACATTCCAAAATGTTACGACTGTATTAACCCATTGTAGACATTTCTTACATGAATGCTGCACAAGAAAATGCACAGAGTACAGCATTATAGGTTGATACTGTAGCAATGAGGGTGTTTCTAGTCTCAACTAAAGTTGAACTGTATCTTGCCTAAAACATATTTACACGGTACAGTATATCAGTATTGTCGTGATATTTATATAAAAAACAAAAAACTTATACATCATCTGTCTACACAACAAAATAGTGAGGTATTACAAGTAAAACTTCCGTGCCAGAACACCACTGGGTTATTAATGTACGAGAATACCAAATTTTGCTTTATTTCTATAAGTTCAAAAAGTGTTTATACTGTACTATTCTTTGAATATCATTAATATTATAGGTACCTGTACTTATTTTAATATACCTTGAAATGCAACAAATGAATATGCTATCTATGCAGCACTCCTCTTCCTGCTGTCAAGTCATACTCGATAAATTTTTAAGCATGTAAATCAGAAAAAAAGCATTGTTTAGCACCGAGTGATCAGTCCTGGCCAGTGAAGGATCGGTAACAGATAGGCAAGGAGAGCTGTGCAAGCCAGTGATGATTTGTAACTTCAGTGACATTACTGCCAGTGATTTGGGCCAAGTTAAGGGAGTGTAGTGCAAGGAAGTGAAATTCCTGTTACTCCAGTGACATTGAGTGACGGCCTACGAGTAAGGCCACTGATTCTAGTGTGTAGAGAAGTTGCAGTGACAGCCCAACAACTACATTGTGTAATAATTTCCCTAGTGATCAGTAGTAAAAAAAAAGTGTCCTGCAGTCAACATTAAATTTGTGTGGTAGCCTTATGTCAAGGAGAACCACGACGTACCTGTAAGTGCCCTGCGAGACTTTCCGAGCGACGACAATGCACAAAGTAGGAGTGGCATGTTAGAGCAGCAAGGGAATGTAGGACAGTTGCCATGGCAACATCCATTTAAATGGTATCTAGACAACCCCTCCTTCCCCTCATTGAGTTAGTGAGGTTTACAGAAAAAGGCAAGGTTATCTACATTGTTTACTATTGTGTTTCTACTACTACTGTATATGCATAGTGATTTATGTGAATTTTTATTTATTTACAATGTACAAGTGAAAAATGAGGAAATTCAGTGATTTGGTGGCGATTAATCCATGAATATTTTAATCGAGATGCGTCATGTTTTGGCAATTATTTATGCGAATGGTCAAGTTTTCATGAAGTTTGTTCATAAGAGCAAGGGAATGCTCCTATAAACTGCTTTGTACAAGCATGCATGAATGCTTATACAAGCAGGGAGCTGCTTTGTACAAGTCATTTAATTTTCAGTCGAGGCTATGATTACATTGCTTGTGACATTCATTCATTAAATATCATGAAGCAAAGGATTTCTGTTGTCCTCTTTGTCTATATGAATGCTCGACTGCCACCGAGTTGAATTTATATTAAATACACACTTTTGGAGCATATTCTGGGAGGTTAGTGACTTGGAACATTTTTGAGTTATGTCTGCAGCAGTGGGGTCCATAATTTGAAGGAATGTGTTTCACCGGATGTTCTGCAGTGTTGCCAAGACCCACAGTGCCAGTGCTAATTCCAATTCCAGTGTAATTCCAATTAAAGTACTGTAATTGAGTTAACGAGTCACTTGGAGTGCCTAGCCCCATTGTTTCGGTGGCTGTTCAGTAAAGCCTCAACCGAGTGAAACTGAATTATAATGGTTGCTAGGTGGAGATTATACAGTACCCCATTTAGCACAAATTATTGGTGTTCGACTACAAAATTTGGCAGTATTTTGGACAAGAGGTCCACAAGAGGTGAGACAGCAAGCAGTCTGGTTGGAGGACATGACAGATTCTCCGAGTCAAGGTGCGGGCACCAGTGTGTCTCACAACATACCAAGTATGTGAACTTGAGCAGACTACTGGAAACCAAGGCCAGAATTATCATTCATTTAAATTGGGGGTGAAATAAGTAACCATCCATGATCAGCTTACGACAAAGGAAATCTAAACAGTTGCGACAGAAACAGGCAAACCATTACCCTTGTCCCCTGCAATCCCAAAGTTTTATTATTATTGGTCAGAGGAAATAGGTTGTAACACAGAGTAATGATAGTTAACTATGGGTTAACAACCATAGCAACAACCTTGCTGTATTTTTAATGTACAGGCAAAAACCTGCCCACCCACCTAATACTGATGAGCCTCCTAGAAAGCAATCAAATCCCACAGGAAAGAAATGGAGAACAGAGGCCTGGTGTGTTGCGAGCAGATCTGTGATACAAGCATCTAAACTCTAGGAAGTGACTGAGGGAGCAGCCACAGAAAATAAACATTCATCATAACAAAGTGAAAGGAGAGAAGCTAAAGGGGTTGTCAGCCAAATTATTTAAAAGTATACATCATTGTACTGTACAATGAAAAGTCTATATACATGTAGAATACTGTAGAGGGAAGCTCTTATTACAGAAATTTTAAATCTCATAGAAAACATTCTATGACAATAAAGATGCAAGTGACGGCAGGGAAGGAGGGAAAAAAAAAAATATAGTGCAATGTAGCAAAGCAAAGGGTAGTGTTCGAAGCTGAACATACAACCTATCTTACAAACATCGCATATCGATCATATGCGTTACAGAAGGGCAAAAATGATCATACTAGAAAATGGAAGAGGGTCGTGAAAGTGACGTACTGTGACATACTTGAAGGACACTTTAAACTAACCGTTTTCTTGACGTTGGGAAACGTCAGGAAGACGGGCTGGTACATGTGTGTACTACTCGACAAAGTAATTGACAAAATTACACATTGTATACAGTACTGTACATGAATATACTCATGGAGGTTATATAACCTTTATACTGTACATATTTAAATGAATTGGCAAGAATTATGAAAAAAAATTTAAAGGGAAAGAACTGATCATACAAAAATAATCAGAAATTCTATGCAATAGCTACCTAGCATAGTGGCAAAACACCATTACAAAATATGGATTTTGAGTACATTATTAGGTCAATGTAATGTTTTTGAATGTCATGCCCTGCATGACATTCGATATGTCATGCCATATCGCATGACATGGCAGAGATATGATTTATACAGTATTTATATATGTATGTATAACTAAACACGTACACAAATTTCAGCAACGCGTGAGATACTAAGTACAAGATACTGAACGTAATAGTAATACTCAAGTCAATATGAAAAGCTTTAAAGGTTTTAAGGCTGCAGGCACAATACACGCAATAAATTCACTCACAGTACTGAATCAACAACATATTACACAAAAGTAATTTAGCGTGATCCTTCTCTTGTAGCAATATAAAACATGACATGCCAAATTTTCATTACTGCTTTAAGTAAAACATTTCAATAGCATATTTTAACCTAAACTTGAATTTAACCAAACTTTCTCAGCAGGCCAGAAAATTGTAAATATTTATCCTCTGTGTACTAATTTTTTTTAGTTTAAAATAAAAAATGTAGAGACCCATTTAATTGAAATATTAAACAAAATTATTAATTTAAACACCTTCTTAGAATAACCTGACAAAATTGGTTGATTTATCTATAACCAACAATATTTCCCATATACAGTATATCCAATGATCGAGTATGACCAGGCAGTCTTACTTCATATATTTATATTTAGTCTTACAGGAAAGCCCTGTAATCACGGGGAATCAGAGATGTCCATATCAACTGTTTCTCCTTTATCCTTTGTGTCTTCCTCCTCCTTTTCCTTCTTCTTCCCCTTCTCATCCTCTCCATCACATCCTAACTGCTCCTCTTCATCATAATCCCGTGATACCTGTAAAAATAATCACAAGTAATCATGAAGGGTGCGCTAAGCCAATATGACTGCACAGCATTTCAATATGCAACTCAAAGTTGAACAATATTCAAGATGACAATCCGAGAACATAACACATGCTTAAAGAACTCACATTAACCTGATGTACCAGTGACAAAAATCAGCAGAAGCCATAAGGAGGATTCGAACCTGCACACTGAGCACTCCTATGCATATGCCACTTGGGCACGCCACGCTAAAAGTAATGCAACCTGGGATTCAGCTGAATCCTCTAGAGGTCCTTAGGCTTCCATTAAAGCCCAGTCAGTTACGCATTGCCTGCATGCACTCTGGCTGTGGTATAGGAGTTATACCCCTAACACTACTTCTTCAAGCTCCCAGTGCTGCTGATGTTTTTATTAAAATTTCTGTTCTCGTCTTCTCCAAGAAGACAAGAACAGGAATTTTCTCTTTGGTGAAATTGGCAGTACTCTTACTGACAGGCTTAAAGAATAATGCTTTCTTCTGCCATTTGCAACAGAGATTTTGCAAATTAGGTTGAAAGGCACCTTGACATTTATAGTAGACGCATAATTTCCAGCTCTGATATCTAACTTCAGATTGTTATCTAACCTACTACTTAAAGACTAAGATATTTGAGCCTGTAGTTTTCTAACTTAAAGCATTTCCAAGTCTCACACCACTGTCTGCTAGTCAACAATAAAACTTAAGATAACAATGTTTTAAGCTAGGTACTCTCAAAAATCTTGATCACTCTCAAAAATGAATTAATTTGTTGCACTTGTACTGCACAGTGAGTTATTACATTGCATAAGAACTCTTGATACTATATACAATTTTGCTGCCAGTAGGTAACATGGCTAAGGTTCCTAAACAATATGGTAGGGTTTAGTTAAAAATCAACGTTTATTATACTGCATTTTTAATATTATAATAACATAAATACTAGGTTTAAATATTATGTGTGATAATATATAAATATACACAAAGTATTTCAAAGTTTGAGCACTTGAAACTTTGTTAAGATCTGGAGTCGGTTTTTTTTTTTTTGAGGTACAATGATAATTATGGTTGGTGTGGTCAATTTTATTTTTTAAATTCTTATACTTGCAGCCCAACTTGTGACAGGGCTTCCATAGTGAGTGCCTAGTCAGTGAGGCTGTGTGTATTAGCAGCCCGCATTGATGAAAAGGTGATGGTATATACAGTTAAGTATTTCAGTGCACTTTTGATTTCACTAATTTGAAACTTGTATAAAATGGCTAGATATCCGGACAGATCTTCAAACTACTACATCTGATTGAATATCTGGAAAGGATCTGAAGAGCTATTGAATATGTGGCACATCCCTTCACTTAGCAAAGACAAATCACAGGCTATAATCTATAGTAATATATCAATGATTAATTCTTACCTTCAATTCTTTCTTTTTCTCCTCTTTTTCTTTCTTATCTTTCTTCTTATCCTTTTTGTCTTTTTCCTTATATCTGTCCTTATCTTTTTCTTTGTCTTTGTTATCTCGACTGCGGCTACGATCGCGCCGTGACTCCTTCCTGCGAGATGGTAAAAAATTAGATTTGTTGTGTTGCCTTATCTTTAATCAGGCCACTTCAATTAGCATTACATAAAATGTAGGCTTTGAGTGCATATGAAAAGCACCTTTTTGGGCAGAATCATTCAGTTACCCCCTAAGATAAAATTTGGTGTTCATCTTGAGGTTATCTTGAGATCATTTCGGGGCTTAGCGTCCCCGAAGCCCGGTCCTCGACCAGGCCTCCTTTTTTGTTACACATCCCCAGAAAGCAGCAAGTAGCAGCTGTCTAACTCCTAGGTACCTATTTACTGCTAGGTGAACAGGTGCATCAGAGTGATATAAACTCTGCCCATTTGTTTCTGCCTCCACCGGGGAGCAAATCCGGAACCTCAGGACTACGAATTCAGATCGCTGTCCATTCAGCTGTCAGGCTCCTCCCCACAATAACTATAGAAAATATATTGAACAGTCTGCCAGGATGATATTTAGTACAGAACTGTTTCCATGTGGAATTTTAAACAGCTCTGCAGGCACAATGAAATCACATGTTCAGGGTAATGTATCCAATGCCATAAGGGCTTCAGTATGTATTCACCTCCCCAGAAATTTATAAAGTGCTAAGTGGGGGGGGGGGGGGAGTAGTAGAGTAGAGTAGTCCAGTTCAGTGTAGAATGATAGACAGGTGTATCCATAAAATATTCAAATCTTTTACAAGCCTAAAAGTAAAATCTTTTACATGTGTTGCCATTATCCTGGCAACACATAAGCGACAGCTAATGGAAGACTATTTCTTAACTGTTCGTTTGCTTGCTCACAAAGAGTTCCCAACATACTTTAACAGAAAATAGGAGTGACCAGATAATTCAATTCAGAAAGATTTTACTAATTTGTACTGTTATTGTTCACATTGTGCCTAATTTCCGAGCTACCAGATTCAGTTGCCTCACAAGAATTAATCAACAGAAAGAAAATAAGCAGAAGGGTACAAATAAATACCAATGGAGAGAGACCAGAGAACACTGGCACAAAGAAAGACGTCCAAGTGAAGTAAAGGTAGGCAAAACCTTAAATCTCTCCGATATTAGGGCAAATGAAGTGAGAACCAGAAACGTAGAGACTAAAACCCAGCTTGAGTAAGATTGACCTTACAACCTTACATAACAGAACATGGGTATAAGTTCTTCTTTCCTGAAATAGCAAAGTGAATGAAAACATGAAATAGGTGCAATGAGGAAATAGATCTGGTAAACATGAGGAAATACAGAAGAGTGCCAATGGACCTCGCACTCGCACCAATAAGAGTCATCATGGGCTTTAAATAAAACTGCAGCGTTCTGGGTTGAAAAAGGAGGGAAGGAGGGAAGAGGACTACTAAAAAAAAACTCCCATACATAGTGATCCTAACTGCAAATTGCCAAAACAGCAAATAAACAAGTCCCCGAATAACAAATCTGTGACTAGCATAGATACATATGCTTTATCTGTTTTATTAATATAAAAGACACTAAATGCAAGACATAAACCCCCAATCATACTCAAATAACTCTTTTAATCATAACACTAAAGATACTAACATAAAATAAATGGATAATTCAATTTTAAATAATACTTAAATTTATGAGTTTAATGTAAAAACATGACATTGAAAGAAAACATTTTGAGTATCATTTATGTTGTGATAAAACTTCATCTATGTTACTGAATAATTAGTCAAAGTCTGGAAAATGATGCATAATAAGATATTCTGTACAAGCAGGCTAGAACATGTGAATTTATTATAATAGTTGTTGAAACCAAGTAATGTAAAATATACTTATACAAAAATTTGTTAGTCAGTAATATTAAGTTTTTCCCATTACGTTAAATTTATTTGACAATCCTTAAACAATGAGGAATAGTTTTAAGAAAGCACATGGAATACAGGGCCCGTAATACAAGTACTATGTACTCTAATTAACAATACTCAAATTTTCTTCAGTATAAATATAATGTATAACTTGTAACGACAAAAAATAAAAAATGAATATTATAAACTTTGTCAGCAGGTGTTATTGTCATAAATAGCACTGTAATAATAAAATATAGCAATTTCTAATAACAGGGAATCTATTTGATTGACAGTAATGCCTGTGTAATAATGAGTGTAAATAGTGTCACAACTCATATACAAACGCACTTTTTGATGAATGGGGGCAGCGGCGGCAAAATCGGCTTCTGAGCACGACTTTGTGAACGCGCCACACCAACACTATGGCAAGGAGAATTTTGTTTACAATTTTTCTCTCTCATTATATAACATACTATCACTTGTAAAGAAAAATATATTAATATTGAATGGTTTCTGCACACTTGGAAGGTGTTGCATTTAATTACTGTACAGCTGTCAGTGATGGTTAACAAGCAATAAACATACTAAGCAGTTAAGATCTTAAAACATTTCTCTATAATTACAGCAATATATTAAGAAATTTATTTCCAACAGAGAATAGACCTTAATTTGCTATTATAAAAATTAGTTTAACTTACTTTTTGCTAGATTCCTTGTCTTTGGATTTTCCCGTCCTGGTGGGGAAAGAGAAAATTCCCTTAGATGCAAATTGTCTTAATTTTATTACACACCAAATAAATGCAATAAAATATTTGCACTGTATGCCAATTGATTAAAGGAAAATTTTTCACAACAGGAAACTCAAAATACATGTACTGTACTGAACTTTGACAGCAGGAAAGCATAGGCATAACAGTACCACACCATCAGAGATATATATAAGCAGGAAATTGGCAATGTCTTTCATTAAGACAGGTACTATTGTTGATTACCAACTGATGATTTCAATAGTTCTTCTACTCCACTGTTGATTACCAACTAATGATTTTTAATAGTTCTACTCCTGCAGCCTCCTTTGGTGATTGCCTAGTCTATGAAGCTGTTTGTCTTCAAAGGTAAAAGGAATAAGTAGCCATCACAGCTAGGTTGGTTTAGTAACTACAGTAGAAGCTTGTCCATATTTCTCTTATAAGCTTCCACTGTTGTTCCAGACATTTCTTATGTTTGTCAGCAGGAGAGTGAACAGTCATGGGCCACTGATGTTTATACAGTATTCTCTAATTGTGCTTATGGCACCCCCAGCTTTTGAATGTACAGTATTTATTTTGCACTTCCTCCTATATCTCTCACTGTAGGATATTGTAATTTCTAATTATACTGTACTAAAAGGTTTAAGTCACTCTTTCATATAGATTTATGTGAACAAAATACTTACTTTAATCTTGAAGACGATCTTGACCTTCGCCTTGATCGTTCATGCGAACGACCACGACGATCTCTGGAACGATCCCTGCGGGAGCGAGATTTACTGCGAGATCTGCGTCGTGAGCGTGACCTAAATAATGAAAATATTGTAGCAGTTTTATATTGAGCCACATTGCAATCTCTTACTCTTCAAGTTAGTTTAGTATGGCATCTTTTATGTCATTCTCATCAATATACCATGAATATACAAGCATAAATATAAAGCTTTTTGGTTTGGTTTAATATCTACAATCGGTTATTAATTCACTTTTCTTACATTTCAATGCATGATAGTGATGATAAAATAGGAATGAGTGAAAAAGAAGTGAATTGTATTTTTCAGTCTGCTGGAAGCAGAGAATATGGCTAAAAAATTGGATACTGAACCAGTTTTATGAAAATTAATTTGTATTAAGAAAATTTAAAATCAAAAGTCAGCTCACAAAAAAAAAAATCAAGAATATTTACCAAAATACACTCATTTAACACTGAGTAATATTTCTGCTGCTCATCAAGCAGCAAATAAAAATAACCAATGTGTAGTACACATTAAACTAATGATAAATATGGCATTAATAACAAATAGTGCAACAATTGCAGTCTCACCTAGATCTTGACCTATGTGACCTTTTTGGTTTGGTACGACTTCGTGACCGCGAGCGCGACCGTGAACCTCTCTTGCTGTGAGAGCGCGACCGCGTTCGCCGGCTCTTACGCTCACGAGATCGACTACGAGAACGTGTGCGACGGGATTTGCTAGTCTGAAATTATACCAAGAAACATACAAATTAATGTCAAAAACCCAAATTCCAAGAAGCCACATAAGCTTATAATAAATTATAACAAAATATAATTTCTTGAAGCCTTGCACCAAGACAGAAATATAGATTTTATTAGAGTTCTAATTAGAAAATAATTCTAATTTTAATATCGGTTCTCTTTTTCCCACAAGTCACTTCTCACCTCATTCTTTACAAGTTATGCTCCCTAACTCAAAATTCCAGCAGTACAGTACAGAATTGAATGACTTATTTAAACTCCCAATAACTGACCTCCTTTTTCTTCTCCGGCTCCTTTTCTTTCTCCTTCTCCTTTTCCTTTGGTTCCTCAGGTTTAGCATCCTCCTTCTTGACTTCCTCCACCTTGCTAGACTCTGGTTCTTCTTCCTTGATGACTTCTAATTTTCTCTCTTCTTTTTTATCCTTTTCCTTATCTTTATCCCTTTCCTTATCCTTATCTATATCTTTGTCTTTATCTTTGTCCTTGTCTTTATCCTTGTCTTTATCCTTGTCCTTATCTTTGTCCTTATCTTTATCTTTGTCTTTGTCCTTGTCCTTATCTTTATCCTTAGCTCTGTCCTTGTCTTTATCCTTATCTCTATCCTTATCCTTGCTTTTGTCTTTATCTTTTTCTTTACTCTTGCTACTACTACTACTGCTGCTGCTCTTCTCTTTTCGTGAGGAGCTGGACTTGGCCTTGGACTTGGATCGAGATCGCTTGGAGCGAGACTTTGAACGCGACTTCCTTCGAGAGTGAGATCTGGGGAAGAATCCATTATGAAAAATCAGTGCAAACAAAGAGTTTGAAAATTATAACAATACTTAATAATAATAATAATAATAATTAAAAGATACATAAGGTAAAACTCTACTGTACAAAAATATTAATAATTTACTCTTTCAGTAATGTACTACAGCCCCCACCACACAATTTTTCCCAATGACCCTCTTAAATTTTTTTTTAGTATAGTTGCATGGTTGCAAGTACAAAGCTTGCAACCATGCAACTAACCATTTACACAAGCGGTTACTTGCATTTTACCCTCCTGTCTCGGCAAGTAATTATCAAAAGAAGGCACAAAGCCTATTAGTGGTACGCAATAGCTCAAAGTACTGTATATATGTATATATCTCAGGCAAACACCTCCCTGCCTGATGGGGTTCTTGATTCCTGCTTGATGATGTATCTACAGTACATGAATTAGAATTGTTAGATGTCTTAACTATAATAATAAAGTATTGATCTAGCCAAATAATACTAACTACAGTACAGTACAGCATATACAAAATTGCAAATATTCTCACCTTGTCCTAGACCTCTTTCGGGTCTTTGAGGATGATCTCTTCCTGCGTGAGCGACTGCGTGAACGTCTGTGTCGGTCTCTATAATAAATGGGAACATATATTTACTTTATTCTACTGTCTCTTCACCAGTTTACTTTCAAAGCCTTCCTTCTAATACCTTTTATTTCTCACCACTGCAAAAACATTAATGTGTTTTAAAAGTTCTATCTCAACACAGTACTGAATCTGACTTGTTCTGGTTCTTTTGGATCTATCCAATTAACTATAGAGGAAAGTTTGGTTTATCAATGATGATATAGATATGAAAGAAAAGAATCAGTTTAGCAACAAATGATATATGAAGTTAATCAAACCTGAATAAAGAGAAAACACACAGTTTATGGAAAAAATGGAGACCCGAGACAACTATGCTAACTAATTGAGAAGATATTCAAACCAACAAAACCAGCTAGCCTATTGCAAAAGAAATTTAGAAGAAAATATATTAAAATTAGAGTTTTTTTAATTTTTCCCAATGAAAGAAACTGGTAGAAAATGAGAACCCAAGGAAAATGATCAACTCACGTTTAAATTCATGCATGCAACTGAAAGACCACATCCTCCACTAAGCAATGAAAGCACTACCATATAAGAAAGAAGAATCTCCTCACTCTCCCCATCCGGGGGTCTTTTTAAACACTTTAATTTAAACACAATTCTTACAGTCAGTCAGTGCATGCAACTGGAAAATCCTTCAAGAGTGTCATAGATGACCCAACATGTTCAAACATTTCCAAGTTTTTTTTTTTTCAAGAGTTTAGGTGGTGTAAGAGGTATCCTACACAAGAGGGCCACATCCAAAAAGAGAGGCACGCTCCCAGATGGATCAAGGCATCAGAACGGCAGAAATACATAGATTCAAGAGGAATGCAGACTCTCTGTACAGTACTAGACACGTGAAAGAGTGGAGGAATAAAGGAAATAAATTAACTAACTGGATAGAATTAGTTACCCTTTGCATTAATAGAACTCGCTTAAAAAAAAAAGTTTTTTGTCTTGACTGACAACAGGATATATTCGTTGATCAGAGAAGAATACAGTACTTAATGAAGGGCCAATAAAAAAAATAATAGTACTTTTTCAATATCACCCCCTCCCCCTACCTAGACACTTCTATGTATATAGGAGTAGAGACAATTATACAGATCACTACAGAACAATCACCACAAATAGTACCACAAATAGTACCTGGACCGTGACCTTGATCGGGTTCTATGATGTGAGCGAGAACGGGTTCTCCTGTGAGACCTGGAGCGTCGAGATCGAGACCTAGTGCGGCGTCGTGATCGGGATCGGCTCCTATAAAAATCAAGATCAAACAAAGCTGATATTTAAATTTCAGTCTGAACCTACCTATTCATAAAACAATCTGAGTACAACTTTGATCCTATCCTCTACCACCACCCATCCTTTTGGTTACATTGTAGATCATGTAAGGATAAGGAAGCCTCCAGTCATGATTTATGGCCTGATGAACAGGGCAGATAATTTCCTGCAATGTAATCCTTTATACCAAGGCTTCATAAATTCTTTACATTACTTTTTTCAGTTATAGATGATGTACCTATGAGCAAACAATTCCAGTGACAAATGCCTGTAAGAGATCCTACATAAACAATTACATTGTCAAACTTGTCCAACCACCTAACCCTTTCCACATCCAGCGATACACACGTGCATTCACTCACCAGATGAAGGTACAGTACTTAAAAATACAAATGACATAACACTTACCGTGATCTAGACCTCGATCTTTTCTCCTTTGATGAATCAAGGAATGACATGACAGGATCAATAGCTGAAGCTATGAAGTTTTGTGCTTCTTTCACTCGTCGCATTGCTTCCTCTATCTCCCGTTGTGCAGCCTCATTACTCTTTGTTTGAGGCTTCATAATTGCTACATTGGAATGATTAACCCTACACAGGGAGAAATATTAATAATTTTTAAAATATTATACTTATAAAACATATTTAAAACTAATTGTTAGTAACATTAAAGGATTAACAAAAACTTGTTTGACAAGTGAATATAAGTAATTGTAGCACTCCACCACATTACAATTTACACAGTCAAAATGACTGATGCCTTTGACCTCATATGGATGCAAATGGAATTATGTGTCTGATTATTGGCCAGTGTTTGTATCATTGGTCCTGACAATAATGCTTGGCAATATCAAGTGGCTGCTAGCCAGTCGAGATGCATAATACTGGTATCACTTCTAGGCAAAAGATCTCTCCTCTCCTCACCTTAGTAGTCCAATACACGACTACCCACAACAAGCCTCGAGATATTTCCAAGTATCCTGAGAAATACCTACCTGTCAGATTATTCTAAAAAGTTCATAAACTACCTAGGCTCTCCCTGGCCTCAGCATCTTGAAGAGGTTAAAACACCATTTAGTTTTTTAGACAAGCTATGTGACAAAACAAAGAACAGCATGGGGCTGAATTATTAACAAACTTAAAAACACGACTAGTTACTAACAAGAGAATCTTCCATCCTCAGAGCAGGTTTTTATTCACTTTTCAAGAAACTAGACCTAATAATAACACTTAATAGGCAATGTTAACAACAAGATTCTTAGCCATATCTACTGAAGAGGCACAAATGCTACACAGTGCCCTGCAACATGTTGGGTGGGTGACTGATATCTGAGCTGTGAAAGCAGCCTCAAGCATAAATGAAATTTTCAAGTACAACTTTTTTTTAACATTATGATAAAAGTGCAAAGGCATGCAACAAAATGGCTTCCATAAGTGAAAGATAAGAGCTATGAGGAAAGGTTACAGTATGGTTAAATATGCCAAAGCTGTAAGATAAAAGACAAGAGAGGGAATATGTTCTTTATGTACAAAATAATAATGAGAATCGACTTAATTGATAAACGAAGAAACATGGAACCTCAAGAAAAAGAGGTCATAGATTTAAGCTAACTAAACAAAGCTGCCAAAAGAACACAACAAAGTTCACTTTTGCAAACAGAGCGGCAAACAGCTGAAATAAGTGTGGCGGTGAAGATGTGGAGACCAAAACCGTCGGTAGTTTCTTCCAAGGCACACTACTGAAGTTTTACTATAACAGAAAATCTTATGGCCGTTCATGTGATTACTTACTTGATTAACCGACCCAAATGTTCTTGATGGTGCATCTTGAGAGCATTAATTATAGAAGGCTGCTCAGAATATTCCACAAGAGCATTTTTTGAGCAATCGTGCTCCATGCCTAATCGAAGATATCGAACTTCACCAGCCTTGGCTGCTATTTCCATTATTTGATCTGAAGTTATCTGAGAAATACAGAAATTCATTTTAGGTACGTAAATAATATGCAACAAATAATATATTAAAAATATTCAAAATCATAAATACAATATACAAATTTAGTGAATATCCCCTCGAATAGAGCTTTGTTCAACTTGAGCCCAGATGCAATCAAGGGTTATAAACTAGTTAAACAAGCTCATCTTTTGATTACTTATATCAGGAACAGCATTTACCACAGGAAATTTACCAAGAAATGGTGAGCACTATATGGAATCATTACATGTACAATATAATTAGTCCTATCTTAATTTCATTACCTACATCATATTATAGGTTCACTGGTGTTATGATCTCAGCCTACAGGAGAAACGAGTCTCCCTCCTTGAGAGTTATTCAGCAAGCCTGACCTAACTAGAAGGTCTAGCAAGTATTGAGGTGATAACGCATATGTAAAATAGTTGGTTGGATATGTGTAACAGTTTGAGATTATGGGCAATGCAGAAGAAAATAGATAAATGACTGGCTAGGAGATGTGGACATTTTGCTGGAGGCTTGAGGCTCGCTTCTGGAGGACCTTGACCTCACTTGAGTGCCAGACATCGCAGGGGGAAGCCGCGCTTCGTTGAGCTCCCGTCAGAAGGGAACCCCTAGTGATATATCTCTAAGAGAAGAGAAGTGTGCAGACGTGCCAGCTGTGGAATCGAGCTGGGGACGTGTGGTCTCAAGTCGTGGACGATAATTAGTGAATATTAAGCCGCCCGGAGGCATTATTGTGGGCTGTGTGGAGCGCCCTGACCAGGCGCCGTCAGAGGAAAAGCGCCCTCGACCAGTTAATCTGTGGTAAGCACGATATACGCCAGTTCATAGTGATTGCATTGTAGTTGGTCGTGTGCCCAGCGACAGTAGCGATGTTTATTTATAAGTTAGACATGTTTTAATAAGGCAGAAGGCCTGAAATAGGAGAGTGAAGAGGGAGGAACACGGAGCGACGTCCGTCCTCTCTGAGCGCTGGCGGACGACTGAGGGAGCCTGGCTCCGGATGGAGGAAGACCCTCCCAGCGAGTGAGGACCGCCACCAGGCGAGGTGGAGTATGGACCCGCCCAAAACGGGGGAGTCCACTCTCACTGTATGTAGAGAACAGATAGAGGTTTGAGGCAAACATATTGTGTGAATATTTTTTGTTTATGTGTTAAAGGGGAACATTTTATTGGAGTGTCGATGGGTTGCAGGTTTGTCTTTTGGGGAAGAAGTTGCTGAGAACTTCGAAGCCAGCAGATGAAGTAGCTGATGAGACTCCAAGGTAGTGGAGCAGAGGACCTCGAGCTGTGAGGAGAAGCAGCAGTGAAGAGGAGTGTCACGTGCTTCTGTAGAGGTGGTGAAGCACCATAGTTACTCGAGGAAACTTCATGGTGTAGCAGCCAAGAGAGCTGTGGAGGAGCCTAGCAGAAGGGTGAAGCACCGTAGTTGCTCAAGGAAACTTCATGATAGCAGCCTGGAGGAGCTGCAGAGGATCCTGGTAGTGAAGCCCGGAAGAACCTAAAGAAATAGGGTAGTGAACTTCCAGAGGTGGAAGGGGAAGTTCTGGTGGATTACTAGTAGGGAGTTGATAGTGTTTGGTTGTCATTAGCGTGCAAGACGCAGTGAGAGGTGAGTGACTGTTGGCATTCTTGCGTCAAGGAGTTTTTTTTATACTGAAGTATCAATGAACATTTATACTGGTATATGTTATTGCATTCAAATGCTGGTTTTCTATATATATATGTTATCTTGCTGATGGTGCAACAGTGTGTAGGTTTGACCAACTTGAGGAAGTCAATAGTATCAGGTGGTGAACCAGGAGGTAGGATACCACTTGATAAGCTGATAATAGAGTTCTGATGGTATTGGAGTGCAACCTGATTGTGATATTATAGAGTATAGGATTCATTATTATTATATGTGTGTATGTATCGTGTATGTGCTTTGTTCAGTAAATGTGTCACAATTTGCTGGTGTTTGCCCTTGTCCTAGTGAGGCTTCCCAGGAGGTAGTAAAGAAGGAGAGAGAGAGAGAGAAAGAACCATGAACCACTGCTGTGGACAGGGTAGGAGGTAATACTAGTAAGTCATAGGGGGATTGAGGAGATCATATCTCATAAGGAGAGAGTGGGGAGTCACAGCGGCTCGAGTGGGTGTGTGCACGTGACGACGAGGCTAAGTGTTGGAGCCGCATCCCCTGAACGTGTGACGTTGAGCCCCTCTCCAAGAGCCAGAAGCGCCAAGGGTGATCTCCTAGTATAAGCACTCTACCGAGTTGTGGGTTGGGTTGTCCATAGAGGAGGATCAACGACGACTACACCAACCAACCCACAGTATATAATAAATTGGGGGCCTGTCCGGGAGAGTGAACTGACACACCCACACCCTGTCCAAGAGTGGATTTGTACACCCTTGCTGAAATAAACTGTGTGACCGCAGGTGTATATTCTCTCTCTTGGGAAGACTCACAGGACAAAGATGGATAAGGTGCAAACGTTTGTGGAGTCAGGCAAGCCCGAGGACTTGGAAGGTTGCACGAGGGATCAATTGAAACAAATAGCAGAAAAATGTGGCATCAGGTTGAAAGCATCTAAAGTAGCTGGGATGAAGGATGAGATCCTGAGGCAGTTAAGAGCCAAAAGTGAAGCGGCAGAGCAAGGAGCCCAAAAAGGAGCTGAAAGTAGAAAGGAGGATGATGGGCAGGATGAAGTGAGATCCCAGGGATCGAGTAGGAGCAGCAAGAGTAGCCGCAGTAGTAGGAGTAGCCGGAATAGGAGCTTGGAGAGATTCCAGTTAGAGCTCCAGATGCAGCGTGAGGACAAGGAGAGACAGTTCCAGCTGGAAAAGATGAAATTAGAACTGCAGATGAAAAATGAAGCCGAGAAGGAAAAAGAGAAAACCAGACTGGAAGTAGAAAAAGAGAAAACCAAACTGGAAGTAGAAAAAGAGAAAACCAGAGTAAGGGAACTGGAGTTGGAACAAGAGAAAGAAAAAGAGAAAGCAAGACTAGAGGTCGAAAAAGAAAAAGAGAGAACAAGACAAATGCAGATAGAAGCGAACAGAACCTTGGCTGAGCAAAGGATTGAACATGGGTTGCCAGAGAGCACCACCCAGGTATCACACCCACCAGATGTTAGGGTTAGGGAGAAGGACATTCCCTTGTTTGTTCCCGAAGAGGCAGAGAGCTTTTTCGAGCACTTTGAAAAAGTAGCCAGCATCAAGGAGTGGCCACAGGAGGAATGGGCCCAGCTGGTCCAGTTAAGATTGACCGGTGCAGCCAGGGAGGCATACACCCAATTGTCACTGGAAGAGTGCCAGGATTACGCCACAGTAAAGAGCAGCATATTGCGCTCGTTTCAGTTAACCCCAGAAGCTTATAGGAAGCGCTTCAGAGAGATGGTGAAAGTTGGAGCATGTACGTTTGCTGAGACAGCAAGAGATCTGGAAAGACGATTCCAGAAGTGGATTGAGGCTGCTGGAGTTGGATCTTACGCTGACCTGAAGCAACTGATGGTCATGGAGAAGTTCTTGGAGATGATGCATCCCGAAACAAAGTTCAAGATCCAAGAAGCAGGGATAATGGAGGTGAAAGATGCCGCAGATAGGGCGGATATGATTACTGAAGCATACAAGAGCTTGAGGGAGAACAGAGTGAGAAGTGAGGCGAGATGCAGCAATGGCAGATCCAATGGAGTCTGGGGAGGAAGAAATTATGAGAAACCCAGAAGAGTCTGGGGTGAGAAAAATTTTGATAAATGGGCAGATAAAAGTAAGTACCCTAAAGCTCAGAAGAGTAGGTCGCGCACTTCATCTGAAAGTGAAGATGGAGGAGCTAAACGAGAAACTGATCGGTATCCGGGAAATCAAGAGTCCAGTAAAGCTCCACAGAGTACGAGTAGTACGTCTGGCCCGAGGAACTCCAATACGAGTGGGCAGAGTCAGAGCCGCTTTGGTACATATAGAAGAGATTTTTCCCAGATGAGATGTTACAATTGTAACGGATTGGGTCACGTGATGCGAGATTGTCGGCAGGGCAAGAGAGTTGTGACCCTGGCCATGTGTGACCCCCGAGGTAAATATACTAATGTGTTCCGAGACAAACCACAGAGAGCGAACTTAGTGAACGAGAGGTATAGGCCGTTCATGAGCAAAGGTTGGATCAGAATAGGAGGCCAACCTGAGGTAGAAGTTGGTATCTTAAGAGATACCGGAGCTAATCAGAGCTTGATTACGAGAAGCCTGATTGGGAATGATCGACGGTTAGCTGGCAGGAGTAAGATGAGAGTATATGGGTTATTGTCTGAGAGTGACATGCCCGTATGTACTGTCCAGCTAAGGTCGGAATATGTGTCGGCGGAGGTGATGTTGGGAGTATGCCCCGACATACCTGTTCCAGGAGTCCAAGTGATCCTGGGGAATGACTTGTGCGGGACAAAGGTGTTGACAAGAGTCATAGCGGAGACTGTGCCAGAGGAGAGCCCAGAAGGCTACGGCACGGGTGGGACACCTGAGAGTGTGAACCTGACTGACATCCGAGGGGATGAGTCAGGAGACCGCCAAGCCATTGAGTACCCTGTCTCGGTAGTGACGAAGGCAGAGGTGGCCGACGAGGAAGACACTGGAGAAGGTGAGACAGTGTCGATTCAGCCAGTGGAAGAGATCGATGTAGATATAGCACGGCTGTTTGATGAAGGTCCAGCCCAGAAAAATGAAGTCTCGGTGAGGTCAAAAGTGAAGATGGCCCAGCCGAAGAAGAATACTGTGAAGAGAGTTGACCTGAGTAGAGCCCAGACTGCTGAAATTAAGAGTCGGAAGGCGAATGCAACTGTGCTGAGTAGGAATGAGGAAGGATGTGGACATACTGAGGACGGGAGTAGATCGTCAAGTGGTCCACGAGCACAGAGGTATATGGATAGTGGAGTTAAGTTGTTTGAGATGTCAGGAGTTGACATGTTTCACAGAAAACGTGGAGAAGAGATAGTGAAGAAGAGTAATAGCCGGGAAAATGAAAGGAGAAGAGACAGTATGTGTGGAGAGATGCTTACGAGCACTTTGGGAGAGGCAAAGCGACATGTATGGTCGAGTGCTGTTGGATGTAGTGCAGTGCTCGAAGAAACTTTTAGGGAACGAAGAAGAGTCGAAGGAGAAGAAATGGAGTGGTATAGAAGTGAAAAATGTGAAAAGAGGATGATGATACAAGCATGGAGGAATAGGGGAAAGCCGAGGACTCGATGGAAGTCAAACAGGATGAGGTCTCGGATAAACGAGGAGACGAAAGGGAGGATCGTCGGTGAAGACGAGGAAGTGAAGTATGATGACAGGAGGCGGAAGTATAACGGCAGTAGATGGAAGTGTGAAGACGACAGAGGAGGTACAGACAGTAGATGTCTGACTCTGGACGGGAAGAGAAGAAGACGAGGAAACGGAGGGTGGAGACAGTAAGTAGAGTGGACCAATGGATTGCAGGCGTCCAAGGAGGACAGCCTAGCCAAGAGGTGCCAGAGAGGTCAAATCGTTTGTGAGAAGACCATGTTTCTGGAGAGTTGTGAGCCAGATGTTGCAAGGTGCAACGAATTATTTGTAGACTCCTAAGAGAGTATATGGGGTGAAGAACGAGACAGCGTGGTGGCGGATGTATTATCCCGAGCTTTGCCACTGGAATAACTCTCAAAAATAAGGGGAGGGGAGTGTTATGATCTCAGCCTACAGGAGAAACGAGTCTCCCTCCTTGAGAGTTATTCAGCAAGCCTGACCTAACTAGAAGGTCTAGCAAGTATTGAGGTGATAACGCATATGTAAAATAGTTGGTTGGATATGTGTAACAGTTTGAGATTATGGGCAATGCAGAAGAAAATAGATAAATGACTGGCTAGGAGATGTGGACATTTTGCTGGAGGCTTGAGGCTCGCTTCTGGAGGACCTTGACCTCACTTGAGTGCCAGACATCGCAGGGGGAAGCCGCGCTTCGTTGAGCTCCCGTCAGAAGGGAACCCCTAGTGATATATCTCTAAGAGAAGAGAAGTGTGCAGACGTGCCAGCTGTGGAATCGAGCTGGGGACGTGTGGTCTCAAGTCGTGGACGATAATTAGTGAATATTAAGCCGCCCGGAGGCATTATTGTGGGCTGTGTGGAGCGCCCTGACCAGGCGCCGTCAGAGGAAAAGCGCCCTCGACCAGTTAATCTGTGGTAAGCACGATATACGCCAGTTCATAGTGATTGCATTGTAGTTGGTCGTGTGCCCAGCGACAGTAGCGATGTTTATTTATAAGTTAGACATGTTTTAATAAGGCAGAAGGCCTGAAATAGGAGAGTGAAGAGGGAGGAACACGGAGCGACGTCCGTCCTCTCTGAGCGCTGGCGGACGACTGAGGGAGCCTGGCTCCGGATGGAGGAAGACCCTCCCAGCGAGTGAGGACCGCCACCAGGCGAGGTGGAGTATGGACCCGCCCAAAACGGGGGAGTCCACTCTCACTGTATGTAGAGAACAGATAGAGGTTTGAGGCAAACATATTGTGTGAATATTTTTTGTTTATGTGTTAAAGGGGAACATTTTATTGGAGTGTCGATGGGTTGCAGGTTTGTCTTTTGGGGAAGAAGTTGCTGAGAACTTCGAAGCCAGCAGATGAAGTAGCTGATGAGACTCCAAGGTAGTGGAGCAGAGGACCTCGAGCTGTGAGGAGAAGCAGCAGTGAAGAGGAGTGTCACGTGCTTCTGTAGAGGTGGTGAAGCACCATAGTTACTCGAGGAAACTTCATGGTGTAGCAGCCAAGAGAGCTGTGGAGGAGCCTAGCAGAAGGGTGAAGCACCGTAGTTGCTCAAGGAAACTTCATGATAGCAGCCTGGAGGAGCTGCAGAGGATCCTGGTAGTGAAGCCCGGAAGAACCTAAAGAAATAGGGTAGTGAACTTCCAGAGGTGGAAGGGGAAGTTCTGGTGGATTACTAGTAGGGAGTTGATAGTGTTTGGTTGTCATTAGCGTGCAAGACGCAGTGAGAGGTGAGTGACTGTTGGCATTCTTGCGTCAAGGAGTTTTTTTTATACTGAAGTATCAATGAACATTTATACTGGTATATGTTATTGCATTCAAATGCTGGTTTTCTATATATATATGTTATCTTGCTGATGGTGCAACAGTGTGTAGGTTTGACCAACTTGAGGAAGTCAATAGTATCAGGTGGTGAACCAGGAGGTAGGATACCACTTGATAAGCTGATAATAGAGTTCTGATGGTATTGGAGTGCAACCTGATTGTGATATTATAGAGTATAGGATTCATTATTATTATATGTGTGTATGTATCGTGTATGTGCTTTGTTCAGTAAATGTGTCACAATTTGCTGGTGTTTGCCCTTGTCCTAGTGAGGCTTCCCAGGAGGTAGTAAAGAAGGAGAGAGAGAGAGAGAAAGAACCATGAACCACTGCTGTGGACAGGGTAGGAGGTAATACTAGTAAGTCATAGGGGGATTGAGGAGATCATATCTCATAAGGAGAGAGTGGGGAGTCACAGCGGCTCGAGTGGGTGTGTGCACGTGACGACGAGGCTAAGTGTTGGAGCCGCATCCCCTGAACGTGTGACGTTGAGCCCCTCTCCAAGAGCCAGAAGCGCCAAGGGTGATCTCCTAGTATAAGCACTCTACCGAGTTGTGGGTTGGGTTGTCCATAGAGGAGGATCAACGACGACTACACCAACCAACCCACAGTATATAATACTGGGTAACGGGAACAAAAAATATTGATAAATACAAGCCGTGGAATGAGTAAAAGAAGGGAGGGAATGCAATGTGGACAAGTTGAGCAGGTGAGTGCAATATGGAGAGGTGGTATAGACATATTAGAAGACTAGAGGAGGATCAACGACGACTACACCAACCAACCCACAGTATATAATACTGGGTAACGGGATGTAAAAATATTGATAAACCCCAAGCCGAATATAGAAGGGAAATGCATGTTTCATTACAGGTGAAACCATATTGAGAATCACTTTAGAAGACTCCCAAATATGTATGATGAATATAAATATACATTACAAAACTTTTTGAAATATACTAAAACTTTTTTTCCACAAAACATCCCTATAAATTCGGTACATCTTATACATCAGAAATACAGCACAATTCTTCATTAATACCTATTTACTGCTAGGTGGACAGAGGCATCAGGCAAAAGGAAACTGCCCAAATGTCTCCATCCAGTCTGGACTCTGAACTAGGGATATTTTGGTTGTGAACCATTTGTGAATAATATAATGAAGTTAAAAACATATAATAATAATAATACAAACTCCTTACATTTGGCTCAAGATTGTCAAATATAACAGTACGTCGAATTTCATTTATTTTATGGGACTCGGTTGTTGCTGGTAGTGGTGGGTAATCTGGAAGATCATTCTCTGAAAGATGTGGATCAATGGTCTGCAGAACAATTCCATCAATCTGTAAATAAAATTTAATAAATTATAAAAAATCAATAAGTATGTAGTTCAAAAGCTCAGAAACTGGAATAATTAGTGAGAAAATCAGTAGGAGCCATAAGGAGGATAGGAGTGCCCAGAATGCTCTAGGCACTCCCAAACACAAGCCTTAGACACCCCACAAAAGAAGTGTATGGAGTGCCACTAAGCAAATGGAATTTAATATGAGTAAATGCAATGTTATGGAATGTGGAATAGGAGAAACAGACCACACACAATCTACAAATTATAAAAGGCTTCAACAAATTATGATAAAGATATCTTCTAGGTGGTGGTTCTAGATAGAAAACAGTGACCTGAAGGGTTAAATTCCATGTCCCAGAAACCAACACCAGCAGCAAGTGGCCATATTGCACAGACGAGGCAGAACATGCCTGGACGCCAATTACTCTGCCAGCCGAGACCTAAATGTCTTATACTAATCAATTTAATTTTATTATTTAACTATTATAGATAAATCAAATAATAATTTATCTTACATAAATTGATTTATAAAATCAAAATCAAGTCTAATTCAAAATCTGATATAATACATACTTTAAATAATTAAACCCCAAGGTTTTCATATGGAACTTAACATAGCCGGAGAAAGTTCTAGGAGTTGTTCTACCTATGCTTGAAGAACCTCTATCATAGACTTGTGATATAAAATGTTTTATACAGTCCACTGAAGGTAAGATTCATTACTAATAATAATTTCCCACACCATCTATACAAACATGACAACGGATAAAGGAACAGAAAATTACTTCAAAAAGTACATGCTAGTACAGTATTTGAGATAGTAAAAGGGAGCATGTTCATTGAATAAATCAACACAATGCATATCACACTATAATCACTACAATTATTCACATTTTTTTTGGACAATTTGCATTTGCTAAGAAATATGGTTTTGCACAAAATTCACCTAGTTTTTCACTATTGTTCACCAAGATGTAAGAGTATGTTGCCAGACATCAAATCTTTCAGTATAAAATAAAGAACAATAATCTCACACAAACCTGATTAGTAACATGTGCAGGCCATTTGGCTTCTTGTCCTATTCCAGGAATTGTTCCACCAGTCCCAAGAATTTCCATGGCTCGCTGCTCATCGGGCATATCTCCCGTAGTGAACGGTATGATAATGAGGGCCCGGTCAATAAAAACTGTGTTGGTGAGATGCTGAGCCACTGCAACACTCTCCCGGTCATGGAACTTAAGGAAGCATATGCGAGACTGGACTGGTATAGCAACATCACGACTGAAAAATAATAAAATATGGTATGACAAACAGTATAATATATACAGATTACATTTGTCTATTACACACAGAAATCACAATAGTGTGATGCATCAAATGAACAAATCCACAAGGGCTGTGAATTCGAATCCTCGTCACGGCCCTTGTCGATTTGTACATTTGTCTATATATGTTCAATGTCTAAAAAAGATCTCGCATTACTCTTATATATTCATTATGCATATTCATTTTTATTACAGCACAACAAACTTTGACTTCAAGGAAAAGAGGCAGTTATTCAACTGTACAAATCTCTGGTGTGCCCCTTACTTGGATTATTGTATCCAAGCATGGAATCTCATTTTCACAAAAAATATCTGCTTTGGAGAAAGTTAAATATCAGGCAACAAAAATCATTCCAGAACAAAGTCGACTATCATATCAAGAATAGATGAGGACCACAGGACTAACCATGCAAATCAGACATGAGAGGGCCGATCTCTTCGAAGCTTTTAAAATATTGAACGTGGAGGCAATCGATCAAGACCACTTCTTCAAAAGGTCAGATTTAACACCAACAAGGAGCAATGTATTCAAGCTCATCAAGCCACAACGTATGACAGAAAACAAGAGATGCGTTTTCATCCATATGGTTATAAACCCTTGGAATTACCTACCGATCAAAGATGAAAATAGCAAAACACTGCCAAATTTAGAAATCAAACTCGATAAAATCCTCAAGACAAATGAGGGGAACTTTGACAAGCTATCAGCTTCATGTCCTTGTTGAGGACACTAGAGATAGTGGCCCTCAGGTAAATTATATACTATACATGTCAATATATATTTTTCCATTGGCCTTATAACCATTTATTGTCATTAACCTTCCAGCAAATCATTTTATAAACATCCAGATTTTACATATTATATGCACAGTACTTTTTTGTTGTTGGGAACAGACTCTTGTTACTCAAGTCTTATCAAGGTCCTTCTAAGCCAACTACTGACCTTCCCCCAAGGAGACATTCCACAACAATTGTCTAATTCTTAGATACCTATTACTGTTAGGTGAATAGGGGCATCAGGTGAATGGCATTGAGACCACCCATCTCTGTCCTACTGCGGGAATTGAACCCGCACCCTCGGTTGAGAGCCGACCACGTAGACCACCGTTTTACAACCCAACAAAAATATTGTGGGGTTTCTTAAAAGATTCTTAAGATTCTACAACAATAATAAACAAACAAGACTAATACATCAGCAAGGTTATGGGGACGAACAAATAAGTGTCAAGCTTCGCTCCTACCCTTGGGGCTCTTGAGAACTCACATTGTGGGGTACAGTCTGATGTCTTCTATCTTCCCTAGGAACCCAAACAGCGTCGACATCTGGTCCTTGGTAGCCTGAGGGGCTATATTCGAGATCTGGACGATCCTGGTCTTGGACTTCATGGTGAAATGTGTGGGTAACTACGCCTCGCGACGTGAGCGTGGCCGCCTCGGCGCAGCTTGTAAACACTCTCCTTCATATCCGCCACCCGGCACCGCCACCGGCCTTAAATACTATCCTCCAAACAGATAGGGTGAAGTGGGAACTGAAGCGAAGGGCGAAAATTTTTTTTATTTATGTATTTATTTATTTATATATATACAAGAAGCTACAATGGGTTTATGAGAGTACATAGTACTGATGTTTTTACATTCTTGAAAAAACTACTAACACGCATAGCGTTACATAGAACATACGAACAAGGTAACTGCAGAAGGCCTATTAGCCCATACGAGGCAGCTCCTATTTATAACCACCCAATCCCACTCACATGCATGTCCAATCCACATTTGAAACAATCGAGGGATCCCACCTGCACCACGTTACGCGGTAATTTGTTCCACAAATCAACAAACTAGTATTTACCCAAGTCTTTCCTAAATCTAAACTTATCCAATTTATACCCATTGTTTCGTGTTCTGTCTTGTGTTGATACTTTTAATACCCTATTAATATCCTCTTTGTTATGTCCATTCATCCACTTGTAAACCTCTCTCATGTCACCCCCTAACTCTTCGCCTTTCCAGTGAGTGCAATTTAAGCTTTGTTAATCTTTCTTCATATGAAAGATATTTAATTGGGGAATTAACTTTGTCATCCTACGCTGGACACGTTCAAGTGAATTTATATCCATTCTATAGTACGGCGACCAAAATTGAACTGCATAATCTAAATGGGGGCCTAACCAGAGCAAGATATACCTGAAGAAACTAACGCTTCGATTAATAAATTCCAGTGTCCTATTTGCCTTATAACGAACATTCATGCATTGATCCTTTGGTGTTAAATTCTTTCTAATCATAACTCCCAGATCCCTTTCGCAATCCGACTTAGCAATCTCAACACCATCTAGCTGGTATCTTGTAACTCTATCATCATTACCTAGCCTCAGAACTTTACATTTATCAGCATTAAACTGCATCTGCCAATCTTTTGACCATTTCAAAACCCTATTTATATCAACTTGTAGTGATAGTGAGTCTTCTTCTGTGTTAATTTCCCTACCGATTTTTGTAGTATCGGCAAATTTGCAAATGTTGCTACTCAAACCTGAATCTAAATCATGTATATATATTATAAACAACAGAGGTCCCAAGACAGTGCCTTGAGGCACTCCACTTACAACATTTTCCAACTCTGACTTAACCCCATTTATACTAACTCTCTGTTTCCTTTGGTATAGCCATGCCCTAATCTAATAAGAAAGATTAACAAAGCTTAAATTGCATTCACTGGAAAGGCGAAGAGTTAGGGGTGACATGATAGAGGTTTACAAGTGGATGATTGGACACAACAAAGGGGATATTAATAGGGTATTAAAAGTATCAACACAAGACAGAACATGAAACAATGGGTATAAATTGGATAAATTTAGATTTAGGAAAGACTTGGGTAAATACTTGTTCGGTAACAGGGTTGTTGATTTGTGGAACCAATTACCGCGTAACGTGGTGGAGGTGGGGTCCCTCGATTGTTTCAAGCGCGGGTTGGACATGTATATGAGTGGGATTGGGTGGTTATAGATAGGACTACGGGCTCACCATAGCCCGTGTTACTTGGAACTTTTTGTTCCAAGTAGCGAATCTTTAACAACAACATAGATAGGAGCTGCCTCGTATGGGCCAATAGGCCTTCTGCAGTTGCCTTTGTTCTTATGTTCTTAATCCAACTTAATATAGCACCCCCAATACCTTGAGCCTCTATCTTTTTAATCAGTCATTCATGTGGCACTGTATCAAAAGCTATACCCATCATGTGGGCGAAAGCGTTGTTTCTGTAGGCCTAACTGCATTCAAGGGTACAATAACAGCTGTACAAGTACAAGAGCCATCAACAGAAGGTACGATAGTTATGGAGACGACTGGGAGATAATGATGCACGGGAGGTCGCGGTGAATGGTGTTGTCAGCTCAGCAGCGGTGAGCTAAACAACAGTAGTCACTATAGATGCTACATATATACACACACACACATAGCCGTGTCTGCTGCTTCTCTGCTTCCTTCCTTCCTACTGCCGCAAGGGCTCGAACTGCTGCTGCTGCTTTGTCAATGTTGATTCATCGATTTGTTTTGTTTTTAAATGTATGTATGGCTGTGTTTTTGTTGTGATTCCCCCACGAGTGTTTATTTTTTATTTTTTTTGAGATATATACAAGAGTTGTTACATTCTTGTACATTCATTCTGTAGTTGGTACCGTTTCATAGTTTAGCGATTATTGTATAACTGGAGATTTACAGTGATATTTTATACAAGAGTGAATCTTAGATGATCGTGGGCAAGCTTAGTCAAGCTGGTTAATGGCTTATCATAATGGATATACCATTAGTTGTGTGTGTTTGCATGCGTTTGTGTGTCCACAAGGTCCTGGAACAAGTAAAGTCCTGTAAAGGTCCTGGAACAAGTAAACTGGACCTCCAGGAGGTGGTCCAGTAAAAGTCCAGGGATTTTTTTTAAGCTTGTTTCATATCATTATTCCTTGATAATCCCTAATCTGTATGAGGGATTACAGAGTGTAGGTCAAGAGCTGGGTATACAAGTTAATAATAATAATAATTAAGTACTTTTACGTGAATAAACATTAATAATATAATAATAATGTTTATTCACATAAAAGTACATTATTAATGTTACTATCTAATATCCCCATTTTACAAAATTGTTACGATTTGAAGGAAAAACATGAGTTAATTTCTGTCTGGCCTCCAAGACAGAAAAGACAATTTCTTGTTTCTATCTCCAAGTCTGGGAGACTTCACTCCTTATGAATGAACACTCCTTGTCTTATGAAATATGATGGTACAATGCAGTAATAATGTTTTCTTGAACCCCTACAGTAAGGAACAGTTGGACCTTCATGCCAGAGTATCCTTGTGGAGTAATGCATGATATAATTTGATTTTCCTTTCCTTATATGTGTATGTGATGTGGTATAGCTGTATATTGTGGTTATGTTTTAGCCTTTTGATGGAACATCCTTATATGGTCCATACAAGCATACCTGGAGAGGCTTTTGGGAGTTCTTCTACTCCCCGAGTCCAGGCCTGACTATGGGCAGTGTGGTTAGGAGATTTTACACAAATAAATGATGGATTTAGCTACCTGTTCACATAGCTGGTGAATGAATTGAAATTTTAGTATGGTACCTTACCATGAACTTTTAATTAAACAGGTCCATTTATTTACAGTGTCATAATGATGTATGATCTTAAAGCGAATGAGACGTGGGCAGGATAATGTCGCGTAGGGACACAGGTTCTGTGCGAGGAGGAGGAGGAGGAGATGGCTCGGAATCACAAGCATCGTCTCCGAGTGATGACTGCAAATTTGTCAACTCCGCCCATCCTGAGGCTGTAAGTGCTTGTAAACAAGTACTGTAGTGCTTTCTTATTATGTTGTGTGATATGATGTTTAAGTTCTTTATATTTACAGTATTAACGTGGTTTATGTATTTTTTATTTAAAATCGGCTGTGTTTCTCAACCATAATTGTATTCATAAATGTGCATTTTGTACATTTATAATTGGGTTAGTTTACACAAATTTACAGTAAATTATTTACCTAAGTGAAAGTTGTAATACTAATACAACACGAAGTACTGTACTGTACAGTACTTATCTGAATGAACTGTTGACTCGAGAATTCAATTTAGATTTAGAAGCTACAATTATCAAGGATTTTAAAATCATTATAGTTGTCAAATTTAGAATAAAACATATTTCTGTAAGAAACTCTACAAATTGCTACAATAATGGCTGTATTAAACAGGTTTACATCAGTCTAAACCAAACTCTCATTTGGGCTTGAAGTGAGTAACATTTAGCTTGAAATTTGAAAGATGATATATATATATTAGAAAAATAAAGTGTAGTTTACCATTAAAGCAGTGACAAATATTTCCATATTTTACATTACAAAAGTAGGACAATAAGAATACAATTTGAAGGTCTAATATAAGTTAGTTATTTGATGATTTTATACACAAAAATTGTACATTTATATACTGTACTGAACATTTAATTGTTTATTTGTTTCATATACATAATTTCCATTTATGTAAGAATTCTTAAGCAATTCACAGTAGGGATTCTGTATGGTTTTACCAGAATTATAAATGTTGTCTTCCAAAATTTATGGTGTCTGTATGTGTATTATTTTTGTAAAATGCATTCGTTTATCTTCTTGAAGTATCCCCAATGTTGTTGTAATCTGGCCATGTAGTCACTTAGTTGCTGACTTTATAATAATTTCAACATACATTGTATGAGGGAAAGGGGCAGATCTTGAGTGATATCTACAAAAACATGCAAGAATATCTACTCCAAAATTACCACACACATGCCGGAGATTAACACTTGGGGGCTTAAGATTTTACCTGTTTAAGACAAAAGTGTACTAGCCAATTTGCAAGTAGACTGTTATTGGAAACATAATATGCTTTCAGACCATCACAAATATCTAGATAACTATCCAGGTGTGAGAGGGGGTTTGGTGTCTCAATGTAATCACTACCTGCAAAATGGGCTTCTTTAAACTGAAAAAAACTTTGATATTTTTTTCCCCTTAGACTTTTTAGATTGTGAGTTGATGAACATTGTGAAGTGTTCTTAGTATTAAGATTAGTGATATTGTAGGAGAGTTGTAGAGCTGTCAAGCATAGTATTCTTGAAAATGGAATTACAGTACAGTATCTGATTATATAATCCTGGTAATATAAATATTAAAGTATTTACAAGTTTGATATCCAATATCTACCAGTGCTTGTTTATATATTTATCCCCTTTGAATACTATCCATTTGATTAAACAAGTTTTGCTGCATATTTAGGTTAAATTCTAACTTCATTGTTTCAGGTACTCTCAGGCCTCAATGATCTACGAAAAAGTGGACATTTCTGTGATGTGACTTTGTGTGTGGATGGAATGACTTTCCCTGTGCATAGATCTGTGTTAGCATCCTTCAGTCCGTACTTCCGGGTAAGCAACATGTGTTCAGTTCTTTGGCAAAAGTTATTGAAAAAATATAATTTATTTTCCAAAGAATGTTACTGTGATAACAGCACAATTTGGATGCAGTATAACTTAATACATAGTGACATAATACATTATGTACATTCAGTTAAATAATGGGTACAAACTCCCCACTCCATTAAAATGTGGAACTGGGTAATGGTTTCCCATTGTCAGGGACAGGCATCATGTTATGCCTGTTACGGTCCCTCTTATGTCAACGATTGACATTTCCCAGATTACAACCCCCAACAATTACTTAATTCCCCATGTACTGTACCTGTTTACTGTTAGATAATCAGATGTAAGGTAACTTGCTCAAATGTTGCTCCTACCCAAGAATCGAACTTGGGTTGCAAGCCCACTACACAAATCACTGCTCCTAACTTGCTCCTTACTCTCTCATTTTTCATTCTTCAATCACTTGTACGTGCTTGCTGAGGGAAGTCATCAGTCTTCTCACACATTCCTGAGACAAATCTGCATCTGGCCAACCCCCTCAAGAATTGTTAATTTTCGTAATAATGCATTTAAGTTATAAAGATGTACTGTATTTAAACAGCGTATCATGTGTACAGTTAACACAATATACTCATCAAATTTTCACTTTCATTTTATATGTGTGGGTTGGGTTATTTGTTTTCAGTCATGTTATTGTGACTTATTCTCTGCATTTGTATATACAGTACTGTACATTAGTTATTTCCTTCTTTGCAGGCAATGTTTTTAAGTAACTTGGCAGAGTCACAGCAAGAGCATATCACACTGAGTGGTGTTGATCCTGGCATGGTGTCTCAACTCCTTGACTATGCTTACACTTCCACCATCATGATAACGGAAAGTAATGTCCAGGTAACTTGCGTTAATGTTCTTATGAAAGGCTTATACAGTATTTTATATTTTGTTACCTATAAATGGAATTATAGAAGACATGCAGCATATTTATAACAAATTACACATTTACACCTAATGTGTTTTGTAATTTAGATAATGCTGTCAATAATTACATGAGGAATGGATCTCTCATATATTAAAACCTGTTCATAATTAGCATTATGTAATCAATTTTGCTCACATGTTATCCTGTGTTTTGCTACTATTGTGAGCATTATTTGCTATATTTGTACTGTTACTAAAAACTGTATTTTCTAAATAATGTTTAAAAACAGTAAATAATTTGCTAAATCTCTTTAACAATTCAAATATGCTAACTTACATTTCATATAGTTTTAAGTATTAAAACTGAGTATTACCACGTTATTGTGACTCATCGTCTGCATGTTCAAAATTACATTTTTGTTCAATTGAATTTGCCTTTTTAACATGAGGATTATGTGATACATCAAACTATATTCCATTAGTACCTGTATGTAATACTCCCTCATTTCAGGCCCTTCTTAGTGCCTCGAATCTTTTGGAGGTGGCTGCTGTCAGAGAAGCTTGTTGCCGCTTCCTTGAACGCCACATCGATGCCACGAACTGTGTCGGAATTCACTGCTTTGCTGAGGCCCATGCTTGTCATGATCTTACTAGAAAGGCTAAAGCGTATACCTTAAGGTATGACTACGGACAAAATAAACACGCCTTTTATTGTGCAGATTCTGTAAGGGGGAAGCTGTTGCGAATTTTGCATAGACATTAAGTGGATGAACCACGGTTGATAATTAGTCCAAAAACCTATACATATACTGGCATTATAGTAATATAAGTAAAGGTGCAGCCCAGTCTCTCGTTACAACGTACTGTGTCCAAATGATTTATAAATTTCCATTTAGAACTACACTAATCCAACTAACGTGTTGAGACTGATGGTTATTATTTCTGAAAACCACTAGTTTATAATGCTTTTGCAGTATTTTTTTTTGTAAATATCATTCATTTTATGTGTTTTATCATGAGGATAAAAATACAGATGCATGTAGTGTGGAAAGGGTTGTGAAGATAATTAATTGGGCAAAAAAAAAATTAACGAGATACTGTAGCAAGAAATATATACATAAATGATTAGAGGTTTGTGTTTGTTTTGGATATGGTTATCAGAAACTGAGCTGTACATAAACATGCTTGCTTCCAAAAAATGCAGGCAAGATATACGTAGCTGTTGTGAAAATTAAATTATTTCTCATACAGAAACTTTACGCGGGTGATGGGAGGTGAAGAGTGGCTTAATCTACCAGTAGAAAAAGTGGTAGAGATTATATCTGCAGATGAACTGGAGGTAGACAGAGAGGAGCATGTGTTTGATGCTACAACTGCTTGGCTCCATCATTCTTACTCCACAAGAGCACCCACATTCTACAAGGTGAGCCGAGAGTAAAGCATTGTTTAACGTATAATATATGATAGTATATGACTTATTTCACAAACAATAGATTGCCAGCTGATAATGACATTAATTCATATATTTTGAATTAATTTTCACAGTAGTTAACAAATGCACCAAATGGATTGTGATTCTTAACCCCATAATGTGCAGTTTGCCATACATCTGTTTCTGGGGGTAATGAAGTTATCATGATGTTGATTTTAGTTGTCACTACTTCATTTACATTCAAATGTAAATATGGTTATTATACATCTATTTTGGTGTAATTAATCTAGACAGTAGAGCAACGGTCTCGCTTCATGCAGGTTGGCGTTCAATCCCCGACCGTCCACAAGTGGTTGGACACCGTTCCTTCTGCCCGTCCCATCCCAAATCCTTATCCTGACCCCCTTCCAAGTGCTATATAGTCGTAATGGCTTGGCGCTTTCCCCTTGATAACTCCCTCCAAGTTCTATATTATGTACGTATGAAAAGAAGCAATTGTCTATAGTTGCTTACTATAGACGAGTAAATTGTATACTGTATGTTGTACAGTATTATATTTTGATACGGCTTCCATAATGTGACTCGTCTCCGTTAATTATTTTGAGTTGAATAATATCTGCCTGTATTTAATAAGACTGTTATGGTGATAAAACTTACATGTTACTTATAAAATTTCCGATACAGGCTCTGGAGTGCGTGAGGTTGGCACTTGTTAGTCCGTATTTTTTAGTGGATGTTGTGGAAGGGGAAATGGCCGTGAGGTCATCGCCAGAGTGCCGTGTGATAGTGGAGGAAGCCAGGCTCTACCATCTCCTTCCCGACAGACGCCACCAACTAACATCTCCACGCACCCGTCACAGACGGAACACAAACACGACAACGGTAAGTTGCCTGCAGGTGAAGTTAGCATTCACTAGCACCTCTTGGCTACAAAAAAAAAAAAAATTGTTATTGAAACGTATTAATAATGTAATGCAAGATATCTACATACAAATAGTGATGTTATATATTTTTAATAATGAATTTAACCTCTGTCAACAAGATGGTCTGACTGTAAATCTATTATTAATTTCTAGAGACAATTATATTGAGGTAGCTTGTTGGTTATTAATTAACTTGTATAATTATTAATGTTTGCCCTGTTTATAATTATTAATGTTAGCAAGATTTTATGAAGGGTTAACATTGTTTATTGTAACATTTTTTAAAGCATGTAAAGGAATGCGACACATTTCTTAGATGATACTCTGGATAAATCTTGAGCTCAGAGAGAACCATTTGTATCATAGGCTATTGTACCACTTAGGCTTATCGAGGTCATCCTAGCTAGTATGGTCACCCAATGAGTTACTAGCCAGGCCCAATGGTATTTAAATGACTAGCCAAGTGACAAATGCACTTACCAAACTTCATGATGTAGCCCAAAACATTTAATTAACTCACGGTACCTATTTACTGCTAGGTGAACAGAGGCATTAGGTATTAGGAAATCTGCCCAACCATTTCTGTCCTGTCTGGGATGCGAATTTTGTAGTCATGACTGCGAGTTGAGAACAAACCCAACTTTGGTTCGGGTTAAGTTGTAGCTACAGGGAATTGTGTTGGTTAGCTTGAAACACTTTACTACAGCACAAAATAACATTCCTATAATAAATATCGAGCTAGATTATAAAATGTTAGCCATACCTGCTAAGCTTCACATTGTAGAAAACATTGGTAAAATCAATCATTTTGATAGGTGATAGTGGCAGTGGGCGGTGAAGACAACAAACTGGTGCTGCGCTCAGTGGAATGTTTTGATCCTCTTGCGCACTGCTGGAGAAGCCTTTCTTGTCTTCCATTTGCTGTCAGGTGTGTTCACTTAACACTGGTGTCTATGCTCTACTTTTAGTATATTTGTGCTAAATGAGGCTCTAAATCTGTGGAATCTTTTATTTTTCTGTCCAGATAGATGTAAATGTAGATTTAATTGTTTTTGATCATATTTAATGTTTACATATTTCAATATATTTAAAAGTAATAGATAAGGAATTAAGTAAATTAAAAATCAGGGTATTGTGTGAAGTGGAAATACTTCTTGAGCTGGACTCATGGGTGCTGCAAGAAGCCAGTGTCTTGTATAGAGCCACAAAGACATTCTGCTAACCAAAGTGTAATGACGGGTCCACTCACTATTACGTAATGTACCAGTAACATTATAAATTGTTTGGTCATATAATTTGTTGAATCTAACTAGTGACCACCATGAGCCCAACTAGTATCATACAAAACCGACAACAGATATTAGATTTGCTAAACCCTCATTAAATTTTTATTAAAATCAAACACTCTTGGTGATTTTCCTTGCTCCTTACCAGCTAGGCAATCAGTCACTACCTTGACTGCTACCAGACAGCAGTACCACCAACACGACAGGGCCGAAGGATCCAACAACCTCGCTTATTGTTCAGGCCACCCAAGTTTGCTTGGGAAAGAAGGAACAAAATGTCACCCAAACAAATAAGTCAAGGGTAACCTGTGCCCAATGTCAAGGTTTATGTCTGAGACACGAGGGGCCTCGTAGCCTGGTGGATAGCGCGCAGGACTCATAATTCTGTGGCGCGGGTTCGATTCCCGCACGAGGCAGAAACAAATGGGCAAAGTTTCTTTCACCCTGAATGCCCCTGTTACCTAGCAGTAAATAGGTACCTGGGAGTTAGTCAGCTGTCACGGGCTGCTTCCTGGGGGTGGAGGCCTGGTCGAGGACCGGGCCGCGGGGACACTAAAAGCCCCGAAATCATCTCAAGATCTCAAGATAACGCACCTAAACAAGACCCAAACAAAATCAAAATAAAGCTGGAGGTGGATAGCACTAGACAGTGTTATGTATACAATGGATATACACCATGAAGTGAATATTAAAGCATAGGGACAGTAACATATGATAAAATGATGGACAACTTGTAATTAGTGACTACTGCCGAGCTGGAGGTAGACAGTGAGGAGTGCCGATTAACGACAAGCATGGCTACCGATTCATTAGCATCTGTTGTGGTGGCTGTGCTGCCACAAGATAGAGTTCCAGTTGATAGCCCAATCTGTACTTAGAAAAGAAATAATTGGCATTGTTGAATTCAAATTTTTGTTTGGAGGGGATTTGTTGACTAATGTTCATTCTTTTGTATGATAATGAATTGATCTTTCTGTGGTTCTAGTTAGAGTTGACTTCATCTCCCTTACCACAACTACATAACCAGATTATTTGGAATGTTACTGGCCAAGGTTGGTGAACAAGGTTATTGAACCATGGGGCAAAGTTTGTGGACCCATTTATGTAGAAAATTAATGTAGCACATAATGGCTTTTTGAGTTTGATTTCATAAAATATAAAACTACAATTTGTAATATTGATCTTGTTTGTTTATATTAGCAAGCACGGTTTGGTTGTATCTGGAGAAAATATCCTGTATCTGGCTGGAGGAGAGTTTCCCGATGGTACAGTGACTCGATGTTTGTGGCGTTATGACCCAGTCTTGGACGAGTGGCATGACTTGGCACCCATGTCTAAGCCCAGATCAGAACTAGGTAACTAGGTAAAATGACATGTCAGTCTGATATCATACACAGCTTCTTTTATAATATATTTCTGCCTTTCTTTTTGTGGACTACAGTATTCTCGTTAAGTGCCATGAGCTACGTATTCACCATCGACATATATGTTGTGGATGTACATCGTGTGCTTGTTGAGAAAATGATGTTTTGTTTTCTCAATGTTCATGTTTATGTGATCTTTATAGGTTCAGCAACACTAGACGGTTATGTCTATGCAGTTGGGGGTTGGGATGGATCAAATAGGTTGACTGATGTAGAACGTTACGATCCTCGCATCAACTCGTGGAGTCCCGTGGCTTCCATGAAATTGGCCCTTACTTCCCCAGCTATTGCTGCCTGTCAAGGAAAGCTTTATGTGTGTGGTGGTGCTATTCTGGAAGATGGTGATGGGATTGATCTTGTGCAAGTACGTAAATTTGTATTGATAATAATTGTAAATGCATGACAATTTGATTTTGTAAGTGGTTTGCAAAGGCATTATTTTTAAATTGCAATGTTAAGCAAATACAGTAGTTGTAATATTCAGCATATATTAAGAGTATTTCCTAAGCTCTACTACATAGTTGGTGTCTCCCTTGGGCAATTTTCATGTAATCAGTGCAGGTTGATATTCTGTACTGGTACGGTAGGGATCTTTCCAAGGATCTTGGGGTCTATCAAGCACTCTTAGCAATTGCTAAGAGTGGTTGTTATCTCAGACAAATGGCTAAGAGTAGTCACCTGGTCGCTATCCCAGACTTCCATCAGGTGGAACATCTTTACATAAAATGATTGGATTTTCTGACTCCAATCCTCACATTATTCTTGACCAGTTCAATATGCAATTTAGGCAAGCACAGGCTAAACACCTGAGTTAAAGGACTTGCATTTATCCTTAGAAACCTGTTTCTTTGTGCCTGTATACAGTTATTTGTATGTCTCTAAGCTAACTCTAGAGAGAACAACGGGTTCTCTCGGTTCTAGCTTGGTTGTGCACCAGCTGTATGGTACTCTCTTAGCTTTAACTATTACATTCATGGTGCCTTAAGAACATGGGGTATTTATGCTGGACACAAGTAGTTTTGGTATGTGCAGAGTGTTGTCAACATATACTTTGTGTGCAACATCCTTGTCCAAGGAACAAAAAGACCTTACTTAAGAAAGCAACCAATTGTCCTGCTTATAAAAGATTTTCATATACAGTAATACTGTACATTCAGCTTGACTTTTATTGTGTTTATAATTTTGTTACCGATTTGCAGAAAGGTAAATGCATAAATTCTATTGAGTAACAATTTAGCTATTCACAGAGAATAATCTCACTAACGTGGTCCCATCAATGAGAAAATCCATAGGAGCCATGATGAGGATTTGAACCTATGCGCTGGATGTTCCCAGACACACGCTCTAGACAACTAGGCCATGACATGGTCAAAAGGATTGCAACCTGGGGTACTACTGCACCCTCAGATTCCTGAAGAATCCTCAGGGGTTCCTGGTTTGACCTTAAATCCTCAGGGTCAAAAGGACGCGATTCTTTTGTCCATGTCGTGGCCTAGTTGTCTAGAGCATGTGTCTGGGAACACCCAGCGCATAGGTTTGAATCCTCATCACGGCTCCTTCGGATTTTCCCAATTTAGCTGTTGTGATAAAACTATTAATTGATCCTAATGAGCAGTGAGGCACAGAGGACTCTTGCTTTTATTAATCTTCTGTATTTAATAATTATTTTGTCTCTAAAGTCCCTTCATAGGTGCATATATATTTCAGTTGTAAAAGTTATCCTTAGTATTTAGGTGTATTAGAAGCTAGTACGTCTTGGAGACTAGTGGTAAAGTAAGAATATTAAGACGAGAATAATAAACAGTTAAGATAAAAAAATGTAAAGTAGATGGTGTGTGTTTTGTAATGTTGATGAATCAATGTTTGAAGTACAAATAGGAATACAGTATATGCAGCTTTCATGGCTTGAGAATAAAGAAACATTCTGCAATATCCAGTAATATCTGTATGTAATTGTATCTCTTGATTTGTTCAATTTGAGAATATCTTTCCAAGGAAGAATTGGGTAGCTTTGTAATTGCATGCACACAAAGAATCTTTGTTATACTGAACCTCTACACATCTTTAGTTGATAGATTAATTTATAATCACTTTGTTGCCATTTTATAAAGTGAACTACAGTACTGTACTTGCTAAATCAAATTATATTAAAAAAAAACAAATTGCATAAAGTTGACTTTTTTTAAATATAATGTGAACATTTTTCTCACATAGATGTATGACCCCCACACGGACTCCTGGGAACAGCTTCCATCAATGATTATTCCACGAAGTGGCTCTGCAGCAGCAGTACTTCATGGGTTTATCTACATCATAGGTTTGATTCTGGACTATATAATTGTACAATTCATGAGATCTGGTATATATTTTATTTCATGCATGTGTACGTATGTTGAATAAATGCGAAGTTGGGTTGGTACGCTGTTGAGCTTTGTGAGAAGTACTGTATGTGCATAACACTGGCCCATAGGAAGGCAGACAAGAAAAAGAAAGCAGCCCATTGAGAGAACCCTAGTTGCATAAGGTATTTACTAACCAAACTGTGTTTACAAACAACAAGAATGAGAATTGCTTAGAGTAGCATTGAGGTAAACAGAAAGAAACCATACAACACCCTCCAGAAAAGTCTGAAAGGGCAGAGCTGCTACACAATCATGTAAAGGAGTAAATGTGAAATAATTCTGAAGGTGTGTATGTGTACACACACACACATACTTTTAAGTGCCTTAACGAGCTGATGCTACCCTTGGAGGGCCTTAACCTGACTTTTCTAGCTGTGATGTAGTTTGACCAGCCAGTGCCACCTGAAGAATATCTCGACACCATTGCTCCCTTAGGTAGCTATATGGGGGACACCTTACTCCCATAAAGGGTATCTCTGGCATTGAAATATTCTATCTACCAAGCTTTTTTATAAACACAGATAGAATTTCTGTATGTCAACTTCACCACTGAATCACTTAAAATAGTTAATAAATGAAAGTGTGATGTAAATACTTTGTGTATGTTCACGAAGGCCTTGTATCGGTATCGAGTGTTCTTTTTAATCATTGGTGTGGCAGACCCTGTATTGGTACTGAGTGCTAGTTTTAATCATTGGTCTAATAAGGCTTTTTGCATTACTCTATATATTGAATTTCCACATCAGGAGGGTGGCATGCTTCAACTGAGAATACTAATAAAGTGGAGAAGTTTGACCCGGTCAACAAGACTTGGGAAACTATGACAGGCATGTGTGAACGTCGCTACAGACCAGGTGTGTGTCTTGCTAATTTATTATGAACATATTTATTAACAAAATTAACATACAATTTTGCTTAATTGGAGAAATTAAATTAGATCTTATTGCAGTGTGGATGCTGCTCGTATTTACTGCTACACAAGACAAAATATTATAAGACAACAGGTCTAGATTTGAGCACTTGCACATAGTGCTGGTATTTCATAAGTTACAGTTTTTCTTCAAATATATTTAAATACAGTGGAAACTGACAGTTACAAGAATTATATTGATAGTGTCCAATTTACCTTTTTCAGCAATGTATTATGCATGCAATCTCAAGTTTTATATCATGTGCTATGTGTACTTCAGTTATCTTTTTTTTTCTCCTGCTTTGTACTATGCAGCACCTACTGTATATTGTATTAAAATTTGATCTGCTTTGCTTGATAAGTCTAATACAGTAAATAACTTCATTGACCAAGGTATTAAGATAAATTTATGATGAGACTGGTTCTGATACATACTGATATTGCATAATTTATCATACAAGTGATAAGATTTTGAGAATACTTTTTCATAACTTTAATACTGTTAGAATTGGTAGTGTATTTAAGATCTTCATTTGTAAAGCGTAAAATGTCAAAATTTAAATTGTATACGATCCTCGGCATTAGAAATTCTGTTGCATTCTACCTTGCAATAGTGCAAGTACTGTGTGCTACAAAGACTGTATTGTCTGTACAGTATTTCTTGAGTCAATTTTAATTTTATTCTCTATGAAATGACAACTCTTCTAGATCATCTTCACATTAAAACTATGTATCTCTTTGCATTGAAGCCATGTTTCTCTTCGCATTATACATATGCGTATTTGTACTTATTAGTTGAAGCAGCACAATGGGATTGAACCTCCATCCCTGGACTTCAGAGGCACACGCATACCTTAATTTTTTCTCGGATTTAATTGTGCATATTTGTATTGTCGACAATTGAAGGTCATACCACATGTAGTACTCTGAATTTTGCAGGGGTAGCTGTAGTGGATGGAAAGATCTACATCCTGGGAGGAGAAGATGGATGGGAGCACTTCCATGACACAATAGAGTGCTATAATCCCAGCTTGGATACCTGGACGCTTGTGGGAGAGATGCTAACAGGTCGATCGTGGCTATCGTGTGCACCTCTCAGGGTTTGTAAACTGCATTGTTTCTTTTAGCCATAGTTATGGTGGCTGGAAGGGTGGAAGGCTTGCTGTATTCGCTGCAATGAGTTGAATTTCTCTCTACCACGAATCACAGTAGCGATGACTTTGCACTTGATAAGGGTCCAGGATGGATCAAAATTGGTGTATGCTGTCTGTAGTTAGAGATGAAGCCCTAATGGCTGACTTGGCATTGACCAGTGTGAATAGTCGAGTACCAGGTTGTGTGATAGTTCTGTACAATAAACATTCTGCTTTTCTAAGTTATTTAATATTTAAATTATATTTTCCTGCAGATAAAAAAAGAAATTCTGGGTGACCTTGCAACCCCTCTATCTTGACATCCACGAGCCTCCACCAACCAGGCACGGCAAACATTCTGGAAATAGCCAGGGGCCAGTGCCAGTCCATGATCTTTGTCTGAAGAAGTACATAGCAAAAGTTTTGGTAATGTTGTATGGATGAAAGGACCCCAAAGCCAGGAGAGGACGGTTTTATCAACATTTTAAATACTCTGGTAACTATTTATAGTACTGCAGTACTTAAGTTTATGTTGTGAACTTGGAGAACATGTAATAATCATTCATTTAAAGTTACTGAATAGGGTGTCAAGTACAGGTTCAACTTCAGTGTTCATTTTCAGTTTCATTTACAGTTAAAGTTGTAATTAATGATGCATTAAAAATTTATGTCCATTATAATAATTACTTAGGCATTCTGTGATGGTAATTTATTGGATACTAAAAAGAAAATTGTTCAGTATATACAGATGGTACTCAGTTTGTTCTGTGTATGCATTCCTAGAAAACCTTGTGAAGATCAAATTTGAAGTTAAGGTTACTGTATATAGAAAAATATGGTATTGAATGTAATATAACATCCTTTTCTGGTGGGTCTCCAGTAGCTTTCCAGAGCTTGCGAACTAGAAATTAAAACTCGGGGAGGGAGGGGAGGGGGGGAGGAGCACATGAGCATAGGTGCCGAGGAACAATCAAACCTTGATGAACCTGTTGATTGTAAGATGGCAGCCCTAGTCACATAGGGTCTCAGCCAGCCAGCCAGCCACCTTACTCATGAACTGCCAGTACTAAATCCCAAACACCCAATGGGGAAGAAGGAACTTAGGTAAGAATGGAGAAGTATTGCACTCTGATCGGCTGAACCAAGCCACCTTGCAGATGACAAGGAAGAACTTGGTGTTAGAACTAGGAACATGAGACACAATTGACGATCAAGGACACTATGAGTAGCATGCAGAATCCAAGTGTCAGTAACTAAAGGACCCCTCTAGAACTTGCCGCATTCACCAAAAATGATAAGGAAAGGTTGAAGGGGAAGAGAATGACAACAGTGCATAAGCTCCAGGGAACTACTGAAGGGGCCTACTACAAAATGGGAACAATTGAGCCATCCAAAAATCCATGAAAATGATATAATGTACCTGAACACTATTATTAATTAAATATTCGTGCCATTTTGAAGCCAAAAAAGTAAATACATAATGAAATGCAGAATGCTTGAGAGGTGCCATGTTAGAATGTAATTTTAAAATGCAGAAATTGTCAAATTATCATTTGATCAGATCACGCCAGAATATGTTGACATCTTGCACCAAAATAATAATTTTACTGCATAACCCTTGACCATCAGCTTGTCCTTCATGAGGGTGAATTCTATTATCGTACGGTTGAAATTGTGCTGTTAAAGCAAAATGTATGGGTGTGAATTTCTTTTTTGAACTGAGGACTGATTCTATTTGGGATATTTAATATAACAACCACTACAGTAGATTCATTTAGCTGGCAGTTACATAACCTAAGGTACCACTCATAAATATGATTCAATTAAGTTGATTTTTTGTTTACGCAACTTGCAAGATTAATGTAAAAAATATAAAACTTGTCTAAAATAATGATGTTTAACAGAGTGGACAACAGCAGTGGACATGAAACTTAACGATGAGATAATCCAATGCAATATGTTTTCAGCATGCCATATATCAATTACATATTAGCCTAGGTTAGCTTTTCACAAAACTGAGGCATAACTATGTTGCTAATCCAATGAGTGTCCATAACATCACTGAATATTTTGGAAATATGCATCATAACCATAGGTTATGAATATGCATCATATTCATAACCTACATTAGGTATTGATGAGCAGTTATTATTGTGTGTGATGTAAATTAGGTTAGTCTGTGCTAATTAGGAGATGTTTCTGAAATATTTAGTGATATTATGGTCACTCATCACATACTATCAACATAGTTACATCTCAGCCCATGATTGCTTTCACAAAACTAACATTTAATTGATATATGGTATGCTGAAAACAATTAAAGCTTGATGTTTCTAATTTGTTAACAGGCAATTGGTATGTGTCAGTGAAATTGAAATTGAAATAAGTTTATTGAGGTAAAATACACACAAAGGGATGAGGTAGCTCAAGCTATTCTCACCCCGTTAGTTGTCTTAGTTATTTAGAGTATACAGGTTGCTAACTTTTATAAGTATGAGTAAAAGGAAGCTCTTATGGTATCTTGCACTGAAGTTTCTTTTCTTGGTTGTAATGACACTAAAGGCCACAACAGCTATCTGCTGCACGCACAGACTCAAACCACACAGTACTGTGCATAGAATGCTGCGTTAATTTTGCATTTGCTCTCGATCAATTAGTGCTAGAAAACAATGTTTCGAGATAATGGAAGTACTGAATGTCTTACTGTTTATCAAAATTTTAATTCATTAATATTTTTTTCTAATTGAAATATCATAAAAGTGAGTTTCCTTTCAGCTGCATTAATAGAGGAATGAGTTTGAGAGTTGCTATATAACGAGCAAAAATATAATTTTGTGAAATTGTGTTAAGAAGAGATTCTCTGAGGACTATCCTGATGTATGCCAAGAAATATTCAAGGCATAGGATGTACAGTACATTGAAAAATGTACAGTATATGGGAATTAGGTTGTTTATGTCTTAAGAGAAGGTTAATGTATTACTGACATAATAAGTGCTTCAAGTATTTCACATACACAGTTCAGCATGTAGTGATCCTTTAAATCCAGTTTGTTTAGAAGGATCCATTATATGAGAAGGGATCAAATCCACTCTCTAGATTACTCCTTACAAAAAATTTCCAAAGGGGAATGCAATGACATCTCTTTACAAAGTAATTTTCATTAAATCTCATAATTGTTTATATACAGTATTATTTGTATGTCTGAATATGCAGAAATATGTATTACTGTATGTGATTTGCTATAAGAAAGATATGTTGAATTTTGTGATATAGGCCCCCCCCCAAAAAAAAAAAAACTCAAAATTGTTAGGAAGTTAGGATTTTATCCAAAGCTGCACCGAGGCTGGAAAATAGAATTCAGATTTTCAAGGGTGTTCTGTGGGTATTTGTCTGTGCAAACTGTCTAAATAATGCAGATATAGTTGATGCAGAGAGATAAGCTTTCCTCTAAGAGGTGGACAACTAAGGTAATGATGGAAAATAATATTTAACAGTTACTTTAATGAGTATTGGTAGCATTGAGATTAAGCATGTGGCAGGCAGTGTAGAGAAACCATAGTGTAAATACTGTATGTCTAACTCAACTAACATCAGTAAGAGTAACCTATTAAGGAACACAGACTACTGTATTTCATTTTATTTCTCATATGGGTTTTCCTGAATTGGCCTAATCAATTGAAAATTGATGGATCTTGGTAGATTTTAGAAATACAGAGGTACCTCAGTTTACGAATTTAATCCGTTCCTGGAGATGGTTCGTAATCCGAAAATGATATACTGCCTAGCTAGTTCAACAACACGTGTACCATTTTAATGTTTACGAATGATATCTTGTTTTTCCTCTATGGTCATTCTCACGTGTGTTTTCTTGCCTTGAACCTTACCACTGGCTTTCTTGGGACCCATGGTGAGATATATAATAACTTTTTGTTCAAATAGCCAAAAATCCAAAAAAAAAACCCTGTAAATCCTTGCAAAGAATTCAGGCGGGAGGCACTGGGAAACTGAGGCGCGATTGACGTGCCGCCACACGCTAGGTCGGCCATACGCTTCTCAACAAACTCGTATCCCGAGGTAAAGTTTGTAACCCGATTCAAATTTTCCGAAGAAATCGGGTTCGTAACCCAAAAAGTTCGTAAAGAGGGGCATTCATAAACGGAGGTACCACTGTATATAAAATAAATACTGTAGAGTGCGAAAAATTTGAATGTAATATTTACGCTGAGAAAAACATTTCCTTTGTTCATTTAAGAGTGGGGGCAGAATGAAGCTAGTAGTTACAAATTAACCATTTGCATTGTTATACCTCAGACAACATGTATCCATCAGCTGTAGAAACTAGTTTTCACTCCACAGCATTTTCTTCTTTACTTGAAATATTGGAGGTTTGTATAATCTTCAGTCTTTCATTAAAATACCATATGTACTATTTTATGCAATCTTAATATCTTCCAAAAATTTTGTGTTCTGGTTAATTTAATTTACATTCGATATTATTATCCATTTAATGCAATTCATTTATCATTCTCATCTAAATCATTTTATCGTTAAAGCCCGCAGGATTACGTAATAGTGTGAACACGTCAAGAAATAAAAAACTCAAACGCAGTATGCTAATGCTTGTGGGCGAGATGGGTCAAGTACTGTAAATAGAGTATGATGCAAAAGGTGATAGCACTCGACTTCAGCTTAAAACATGATCATATCATTTATGTTGCTGTAAATTACCAATGAGTGAATGAATGAAGTCAAGATTTGGTGACATTTTTGTCCTTTTACAGTTTGTAAGTAACATTTTCATAACTTTGCTTTATAATAAATGTAATATTTCAATGTACAGTACTGTATTTGCTCAAGTGCTGTATTATAGGCTTCTGTATTTCGAGGTAGTGCTGCATGTATTTCAAAGTTGATTCATGTGGTAAAGGAAAATGAAATGCATATTTAGCAGACAAAGATCAAAATACAGTACCATACTGAAGTGAAGTTTCTCCAGCTGAGATATATCAAACAAAGCACCTCATAGCTGGGTTGTGGTGGAGGCTCAGTAACGTCACACTAAGCTGTTAACGTATATTGTAAATAGCTGCTCTCTCTGTCTTGTTGCTTTTTTTTTTTTATGGTTATATATATATGTAAGTATTGTTCCTTTATAAATTATTTGGTTGAGAATTTTTCTTACGTGTATACTGTATATTTGATATGTTTTGAAGTATACAGAGAAAAGAGAATTATGAGAAACTTGGAAATAAAAATGCTAATTAATGTTTATTTCAGATGGTAGTTTGTCATTTATTCCTTTTAGATTTGGGCCAGTCAAGTGTTATACTGTAATTATAAAAATGTAACTGATAAAACATTGGTAGGAAATTACTTTAATTTAGAATTGGATAATAATAATAAGGCTTCAAGTGCTTTTTAAGTTGAAAAATGTTGTAAATTAATTGTAATGAATTGGATGAATGTAAAGGTTTGCACCAAGATTACAGGGGGGAAGATAAAGGTTTACACTAGATTTCAAAGGTGAAGATGAAGATTAAACTAAGATTGTAAAAGAGATAAAGATTAACACCAAGAAGATACGGTAAATAGAACCGGTAAAAAATCAGAGTACTTATTGCACTACTCATAAATGCTGTCACTTTCATCTTAAAGCCCTTACTATCTGCTACTTGATCATTCTTTTCATGGACACTTAAGAAATAGTTTTCATGTCTCATATAATGCAAGTTCAGGGTACTCGATGATGGCTACATCCGAATAATTCTTATTTATAGTCCCCACTTGCTGTTATCTTGGAGTGAACTTTGGATTTTATACCTAGATGGAGGAGTTCATGTGGAAATGGAAGTAAGGAGATACAATATATGTATACTTATATTTTTATGGTTTTGAAAGGCAAAAAGTCGTAAATTTATCTACAATATTTAATGTTTTCATAATACTGTACAAAAAAAGGATTCCAGATGCATGCAAAGTCCACTCAAATAGATGCAAGGTTTGAGTGAAATTGCTCTCTCTCTGTGCATTGTATTTTGCACGTAATATCACTAACAATTTTCTCAAACTCCAAAGAAATGCCTTATTATTTTTATGATTTTTTTTCATCCTTTGGCAATGTTTCTCAGATGTTTTTACCTCCATTAATATGGAAGTAGAGTGTACAGTTTTGTGTAATTGTTTTTAAAGCAATATAAACTAAAGTAACAGTTAAGATAAATAATAGTGTAATATATATAAAAGTAAACATTGCACAGAAATATTAGTGTTATTATTTTAATCACTGTTTTGTTATATAAGATGTTTATTGTGTTTTGTCTGATGTTTTATATCATTTATTATTGTTCAGCCTGGTTTGGTCACATCGTATACAAGACAATTTGACAAAGTTTATTTCCGTTTGTTAAAAAAACTATTTTTTTTAGCTTAAGTTAGATGTGTTGGGCTTGATTTATATTAGGCGACTTAAAATCCGTTGGCGAATCAATCGCCTTGTGTACGATGTGACTTGTATCTGTTCAGTTACATAAGGTAAGCTGTACCGTTTCTTAATTATATTTAGATGCATATTTGCCATGCCTTGTATTTATTTTGTAATGCCTAGTCTACTAGCATTTAGCCATTATTGAAAATAATTGACTAAGTCACACAAACTGACTGCTAAAACAATTATGTTCATATTATTAGCGGTATATAAGTAAATATGGAAGTATAGGGGATATATAATTCAAGACTTAATTGTTATTTCAGAGCAGCATTTCTCAGTCTTTGTACTCTTAAAATAATTCTAAGCTGTGCTCGAGATACACACAGATTCCACTGTCATCTGAAAGACTATTTCTATCTTTGTTCTTAATACTGGTTAAATCAGAAAGAGACATTTGTATATAATTGGAAATAGTAAGCAGGTGATAACAGCAGAATAAAATAACTATGAAAGTAATATACAGTGAATAAAAGTACGAAAAGAATTTGCCAAGTATCTTGTTACCTAATCTAATAAGCATTAAAGGAAACAGTTAAATATGGAGTTAATAGAAATAATAATAATTTTTAATATGGAGTGTGTAGTGTAAACTTAAGATTTAGTTACATCAAGTTTTGAAATTCTCACCAAGTGTAGAATTTGACAGGATTGAGACTCAAACCTCGGAATACAAGAAATGCACTATTGTACATTTTTGTTGTGCGCCATATCTACACTACTGGTACTGTCTCAATGTTCACAAGTCTAGGAATTACAGTATTAAAATAGCTTATACTAATGTTATAATATATATGACATCCTGATATTAATCGGTGTCATGATTCTCATTATCAGCAAAGTTGCTATTGTTGTAATTGCAGTGCAGTATTATTTTGAATATTTAGTATTACAAGTACAGTACATTATTAATGAAATGCTGTATCTATTAAGAAATTCATTTTATGGGTCAAAATAGTTAATCAGTAAGCCTAGAAATAAATACTGTATTAAGAAAGGTTTACAATTATCTTATTGAACACAATTTTTATACCAGAACTGGCTTTTAGGTGTTGTATTCTTGATATGCCTCGTGAAAAATAAAAAATAAATAAATGTAGTTTTAATTTTCCTGTTATTTGGAATCATTTCAAAGGGAGATGTTGTAGTTTATACACTAATTATTTGTTACACTATGCTCTTGGTAAATATTTTTCCAGGGGAAAATGTATACAGTGCAGTACTTGATATACAAAACGGTTTATTGCTAAACAATTCCAGGGTTATGTGGTTCTGCATATTGTATTGTATCAGTTGACAAATATGCACGGCATCTATAATTTTTCCAACCGAAAATTCCCCTACCCCTGGCCATGCTTGATTGACACAAAGGCTCCCTTTGTGAACAGTACATAGTCCATGCATAAAGATACCTGCTTGATGGGGTTTCTGGGAGTTCTTCTACTCCCCAAGCCCGGCCCGAGGTCAGGCTTGACTTGAGAGCTTGATACAACAGGCCCACACAGCTCTGTTGGTTCGGCACTTCGTGAATTAAGTAATTGTCAAAAAAAGGCACCAAGCCGGGAAGGCTATGTAGCACCATCAAATGTGCGGGATATTCATAGGGTGCCAAATATCACTAAGGATGCCAATATGAGAACAAAAGTGCCTAAGGTGAACAATATCGAAGGTATCCGAATCGCCAAGAATTCTATCGAGGAACAATTGACGGCAAGGGATGGTAGGAAAGCAAGACAAGTCCTGGAAGTCCGGACATTCAATGAGGATATGTACGACTGTAAGAGGGACAATGCAGTTTGGACAATAAGGAGCAGAGTGGCACTCCATTTAGTGCCCACGAGTGAATTGTGTATGGCCAATACGTAATCTCACCAGAGTTGTTTCCCACCACCGGTTATGGCAGTAGGAGGAAGGCCAAGGGGACACTACCCTTGCGAGCACACAATTTGTTACCGGTAACAGAAGACCAATGATCCTGCCAACGGGCAAGGATTGAATAACTGGGTAGAAGTCGGAATAGGGGATACCTTTACAGGAGATGGGACAAGTGCAGATAGCCTCCTTAGTGGCAGCATCCCCACGCACATTTAATGACATACCAATATGGCTGGGAACCCAATAAAACTCAAGTCTTAAATCCACTGGAGATGAGAAACAGCGACTGTTGAATTTTGACTACTACAGGATGGACTGGCTTAAAGGTGCCATAAAGGCACTGTAAGAGTCAACTACAAAAATAAAGGAGGGTTAACAGTGAGAAAGCAGTTGACAAAGAGCATACAAAATAACAAAGTTCTGCTGTGAAGATGTTAGTATCTGGAGGCAGGTCAGGAAAAACAACAGAGCAGCTTACCCCATCTACAGACTTAGACCCATCAGTGAAGATGGAAATGGAGTGGGAGAGTGTGAAGAAAAGTGTTCAAGGAAGAGGCGTTTCAGAACTGTAGGAAGGGTAAAAGCTTTTGTCATGTGGGTCAAAGTTTTACAAAACTTAGGAGGGGGACCCATCTATGGGGGCAAGGACAGAACGACATGAGGAGAAATATTTGAAACACGAACCGAAAGAGAATCTTGTAAGCGAGACAACCGTACTGAGAGGGGTAAGTAGTGAAGGGAAACAGGGACCACAGGAGGTGATTAACATTAAATAATTGTCATACGAAGGCATCAAGCTGGGGAGACTATGTAGTTGGTCAGTCTGTTACCGAGACTTTACATTGACAACATGCATGTCAGGTTGTTGTGGTCGGAAATATCATTGGTGTTTACCGAATAAAGCAGATTAATATGTAGCTTCATATAATTTTATTTAGCTATTATTCAAATGCAACCCCTTTTTTATGTATGTTTGGGATGGATAACTATCCATCAAGCATGAATGACAATAATATAATAATGTGTACTGTATATATATACCGTAGTTAATTCTGCGGAGAGCCTAAAACTTGTTAGCATCTCCACAGTATTTAAAACAGGTCTTGTATACAAATATTACTCCAAGTACAGCAGCTAAATTACAGTAAGTAAAGTTTAGTAACTAGAGTACAGTATCTGTCTTAACAAAAAAGTTTTTGCACTTATTAGTTGGAATATAGTACTGGAAATTCAAAGTACTTTATTAGTGATGTAGATAAAACTAAAGTCAGAGTTAGGCAAAAACTGGAGTCAATATGTCATAAAATTTTACAGAACAGTTTCCAACTAATATTTGGGTTTTTGCTATTTTGCTTCAAGTGAGCCATAACGTCTCATCACAATCTGTGGGTGACTGATTGCCACACAAAAACTACCCAGTATGACTAATCAGGGAAAAGTAGCACCAGTATATATCAATGTTATGTCTATAACAATTTGACCTTAATCATATGTAAGACAAGAGAAAACAATTTATATTATGATGAGCATTTTAGCTTAATTTGTCAATATAAGTAGACAAATTAAAATACTATATAACTAGGAATATAACATCTGTAATCATACAAAATTCATTGCCAACTTATTAAGAAATGCATAAATAAATATGCACTTTTACTTTAGACAAATGCCTCTTTTTTTTTGTTTTGTTTTATCTGTTAGTCAGAAGTATTAATTTTGTCAATGAATGCATTAGTCTAACTACAAATGAGTATATATAGCATAGAGAAATGCCATTTCATTAGTTCAAAAGGCATCTAAAAACATATTTTTGTAGCTAAAGTTTCTTAACACATCAACCAAAGCAGTTTTTCAGTCTATTTATCAGCATATATAATACATCCATGTTACAAAATAACTAATGTACATCATATACTAGTACAGTACTGTAGAACCATTTGCCCTACAGTAAAAATATATATATAATGGTCTCCTCACAAACAAGAATATTTTGGAGTTGTGGGGCCATGCAATGCACCCCTGTAAAATTAAAAACAAAATCCATTTCACCCAGATGGTTTTGAACACACACAAAAAACTAACATACTGTACAGTACTCTGCGTTAGTTATTTTTACTCTTCAGTTTCAACTCTTAAGTACTCGTACTCTAAGTTTCAACTCATAAGACCTGCACTTCTACGTAATACTTCTTCAGAATGTAATACTGAAAATTCGAGTGCTGCCACACTAACCTAACAACTAAAATAAAGTTTTCTGATAAAAGATTTATTTAATCATGGGATCACTTATGTGTAATCTACTTATGAGAATTAGCAAACAGTGCACTTGGTTAGGCACAGCTTGAAATCCATCCCTTGAATTGTCTACTGCAACACAGCAAAATAATTTTGTAAATAATAGTACACTAGTGAGGCCTTGCACGGTATACAAAGTGTTATTCAAGTTATATTATTCTCATTTTGTGCATTTGCACTCTGCTATACATAGGACAGATGTACAAAATTATTAATTATTAAGTGATTAATAATTATGCCAATAATAATTTATTAGAAATTTTCATCAGAAGAGTAAATGTGTACAGTATTATGAGTAACTATGGATACAAGTTGTTAGTACAGTACTATGTTGTTGGATATTAATATGTACTTGGGCTGTGCAGATAAGCAACTGGAATGCATACTTACAAGTATGACAAAGTTCTTGACAGTCTGAAGATAAAAATGTACGAAGTTCTAATTGCTAGGAGGCAGGACCCAAGAGCCAGATTTCACTTCTCAAAAGGCACTTACATGTAAACAAAAGTGGAGATCATTTGTGAAGCTTTATACAGTTTCCATAATGACTTTAATTTACTGGCATAAAGAAAGACATATTTGCTATCATTGGCTTTAAGAGAAATTAAGTAAATACAATACAGTGTAACCCCCATTATCCAGATTCTCTGATTATCTGGGCATAGAAATATCCGGTTCTCTATTTCTATTAACTGGGTGGATGTCTGGTTAATAAGAGGTCCATCCCTATTAGCTGGGTAGTGTCTGAACTACTGTACCTGGCAAAAAGTAACAAATATTCCTATCTAACTTTACCAAATAAATATCCTACTTATCTCATCATAAAAATTAAATTTGGAAGACATACAATATTTATTAATGCAAGCATCCATAAATGCCATGAAAAAAAGCTATAAATGACTGCAAGTGTATCATTAAAATACTGCAGGCATGCACTGGTGATATCAATCTAACCTCGCTAAATAATGTGTAAGATGATGAAAATAGAATGGCTATTATTGTGAGAAGCTTAACTAACATTTAGTCATTACAAAGGAACTTCGGGTGACGAGCAGCCCCATCTACAAACATTTCAGGTAACGAGCAAGCCCCACTCAGAAAATTTGTCTCGATTGACGAGCTTCTGCTCGGTTAACGAGAAAACCATGAGGTGCTTCCTAGCGTTCTCGCTGGTTCTCTCAAATTCTCTGACGCCTTCAACTAGTGTGTTGTTTTATCGTGCAAGATAAGCATCCCTCTGCATTTATTTGTGCTTTTCTTAGTTTTTTTCTGGTTTTGTGACTACAAAACGGATTAAATTCCGTGCCGGAATGAAATTAAATTCAAGGTTAGATTAAATTAGGTTAAATTTGATTAAATTGTACGAGGTTCCTCTGTACATGTAAATATAAATTTTTGGGCCAAATTTTTTTTTACGAAGTAAGGCATGGTGACGAGGTGACAGGAAGAGAGAGGTTTGGCAAATAGAGCTTTCTAATGCCTGAAGCAATATACAGTACTGTACCTATATATAATAGCAGATTTGCATAATTATTAATGAGTGAGAGTGTGTGGTGAGAACTGCAAAATGTCATCTGCTAGGTAATGTTTTCCAAGCCAAATAATCCTACCCATCCAACCTTAAATAAACTGAAATGTTAAAAATAAAACGCCTATTTGTGCAAGAATCGATAAATAAAAACCGGAAATCGTTCAAAGTTAAGCAGTGTTAGTGTGAAGAGATGCCTAAATCTCTCTCTCAGCCAGTCTGCCCGATCCCAAAATCATGTCACACAATCTTTATATAATCCCGAGTTTTCAGTTATAGTCATCCAGAGATACCAATTCATCTGAATAATGGAGGTCGCACTCTACCTGCACATGTCCATCTGTATAGGAATATGTGCATGTTTGAATGTTGATTCAAACATTCATTTTGAATGTTTGAATGTTCTTCAAACATGTGAAGACATGTTTGAAGTCTTCCCAGAGGGACACACATTAATATTACTATATATGGATAAGATTTTACATGTACTTCTTACTGGCCAGGGCTCTGGCCATGGACCTCCCAGCAACCCTCAATAGTAACTCTCTCATTAACCCTTTTGCTGCAATCCCATTTTTTGAGGCCTGCCCTAACAGAGGCTCAAAATATATCCTTGAATCAAAATTTGTAAATAATTTTTTATTACATTTCTAGCTGCACCATTAATAAAAAAAAAATTAAGTGAAAAAAAGTTTAACATTTTCCTTAGAAAAATATAGACTCAAGCATCACAAAATCAGGCTAGCTGTATTTCCATGACAATTACAATTATAAATACAATACAAACAGTAACTATAATTGTCAAATTAATTTTAAAGTTTGAGTGGGAAGGTGGGGGGAAGTTCTGATTTTCTTAAATTTTATATATATATATAATAGGTAATAAGTGCACTGTCCATATACATAATGGCTACTCGGACATTATTTATGTCTGCAGTCCTTGTGGAGCAGTGGTAAAGCACTCGCCTGGCGCTTCGTGAGCGCTTTGGCCTGGGTTCACATCCTGGCCGGGTAGGATTGACTGGGCGCCAATCCTTAACCGTGGCCCTCTGTTCACCCAGCAATGAATGGGTATCTGGCTGTTAAAACGATTTGGAGGGTCGTATTCTGGGGAATATTAGGATTAAGGACTTGCCCATATCAGGCCACATGTTCTAAATGAAGAACAAAAAATAATAAAATGCAACAAAAAAAAAACTCACTTGCTAAAGTGAGACTTGATGCCACCTCGTTTTCCAGCACTTATACAGTATCTATGACAGAAAAAAAAGTGCTCTTTTTATCCAATGTACTGTACCATTGATAAGACTCAAAATAGTGAACTAGTATTGAAAAACAAACATTTCTTGTACTAAACAATATACAAAAATAACATACTTTAATTATGCAAACAAAAGTGTAGAAATGTGAAGGTTTGAAGGAGGCATAACTGCCTAGTGTTGGTGCCACCACACTGGAAGACACTTGATTTTGTCACCAACAGATGGCAATGTTTACCACATCCATGTGCCTGCTTTTATGGTCAAGAGTTCCTGAGAGAACATTTCACGACTTTGAAACATTTTTCAAGGCACAGCCGTAAGTCACTTATCGCAGCAGCCAAAGGGGTTAAGTTATTGCTATACAACATACATAAAAATAATGTAGAATTAAAAACAAAAAAAATTAAGCTGACCCATTTAAAATCAAGCACCAGTTAGTTTATTCCTAACTTACTACCATTTACTGTGCCACTACTCCGGACTAAAAGGCAAGTCATATTTCTATCAGCTTAAATTACAATATTTGTAAGCAATAAAATCAACATTAATCTAAAACTAAAATATAATAGTCTATAAAGGTAGAGTCATTTACTTGTCTTAAATCTTATTACTGAAAGGCTTCAATATATACCTACTAGCTAATATCTGTTATAATATCCGATAATGCATTTGTTTGATGAGAAATACTACAGTACTCGATATGTGCCAGACTTTTTTTTGTCAGTAACTGAATACAACCATAAATGCATCCATGACTGTATAAAAGCTAGTAATCTCATGTAATGCAAATATTACCCAATACATATGAATAACTTGTTTTGCATAAAGTTTCATTTAGTGACATTACATTTTTTTCCATTTGGCATTTTACAGTATTTCATTGTCTGCATAAATGAATACTTGAAAACAAATAATGTACACAATATATACATATAAATCACAGGTACCTGTACAGTAATCATTATACGATGAATCGAGTTGCTACGACCAGCATAATTTGAACATTTACTGTATATGGCACAACACTGTTTCTTGTGTATGGAAAATTAATATACATGAAAAACCTTGATTCACATTTAAACAATGACAGTTCAGAATTTTACATTTTTTTGGAATGTATCTATTATTGTTACATTAATTCATGATATGACATTTAAATCCACTATGCTAGTTGACAACTTTATGGTACAGTGTATGTAATACTAAGTGTTTATAGTACTGTATTAACATTTGAGTGGTCCGGCCTCTCCACGTGCTCCTGACAGTAAACATTCCAAACTCCTCGGAGCCCCACTCGGCGATGCATACAATTTTTACAATTGTTTTGTATTTTCTAAGTTATTTGTCGAGTTATAACTACAAATGGGTCAAAATGTTGACAAATGTATTCTCTAGAGAATAGATGCTGAAGTGTATTTATAAAAGATTATGCATGGCAGCAATGACTATACAAATGTCATGAACATTTAACATTCCTTATTTGCTGTATGAGCTCGCATATCCGGACTATATGGGAAGGACCCCCACCACCTGATAAGCCAGACATCTGGACCACCAGATTTCTTACCGGGAAAGTCCAAAAATGAACATCTTCACAATTTTTATATGACACTCAACATAATTTGAATTTCCAAACACACTAATTAATAAAATATACCAGTACTAGAATTTAAAACAAACGTCAGCTTACCTTGTAGTTTGTCTTCTTGATTGATGTTGTACATCTTGGAATCAATAATTCTTGAAAATTTATGTAACCTAACACAACACTAAAATTACTGTACAGTACACGAGCTTGGCAAAGTCAGTTTTCACTGCTAGCTGCTGAAGCTTCAGTGGGTTGAAGGTCTTTGAATAGCTTGCGAGACTTCAGTGGTTGAAGGGCCTTTGATTGCTGCTTTTATCAAATAAGAATAGAGCTTGGTTTGCCTCCTGTGTATATTGGCCTCAAATGACTCTTTGGTTAGCCTCAAGTACTGATACACATTTCCAACTTCAGGATTAACAGTTGGATGAAAAATGTATTAGCATGTCAACGGAAGACATTAGTAAACTGAATTTGGTTGTCGGTGATGTTGGTTTCTCAATGCCATCTTCATCATCGACCTCACCAGTAACAGACTGGAGAATCTCTTCTTCGCTCATTACACCATATCCTGGGTCATCAGCATCTCTTTGTAATCATTCAACCACATTCTGTCTTTCTAAATTTTCACCAGCATTTCTGAACATTTTGTGGATTTCATCTGGAAATCCTTCAAAATTCTTCAAGTCGATTCCTTTACTTCACTCCACACTTGAGCCGTTATAAATTGCTTCCTTAATGGAATAGTTTTTCAAATTTTCAACACTTTTTGTAGCACTGGTATCCACATAAAGTTCCTCATTTTCCTACAGAGGCAAAAACCACTAAAACTTTGTTAAGCATCTTAGTGCACAACCTCTTTATGGCACAGATAACTCTGATCCACAGGCTGGATGAGAGAGGTGGTATTAGGAGGAAGTGCCATACATGTTATCTTGCCATTATGTGAGGTTAAGATGTCAACATAGAAGTGGGCAAGAGCATTATCAAGCAACTGCAAAGCTAAAACTTACTTTGTGCTTCTTACTTTGATGGTCATGAACTTCCTTGCAAAACACATCATACACCAAGAACGAAAGATCTGTGTGAACCATGTGTTCTTTGAGCTTGTGACCATATCAACACCACCTGTGAAGTGTGGTATTTCAATAGCAACGCCATCTATGAACCTGCACTCCAACCCCAAGGTCTGTAGGTGACAAGGACAATGCCATCTCTTGGCAAAGGCATGGCAAGGTCAGCACCATCTGTGAATTGCTCCTGATCATAACTCTTTTAGGTAGGGGGTTGATGACAAAGCCTTCTGGTGAGGGAGGTAATGATAACACCATCCATTGTGTGCATCTGATCATATTTTCTGTTCCCTGGCAAAAGGCTGTCATACTATGTTATTCTTGGGCACTTTGGCTAATGACATGTTCACAGAAGTGATGAGAAGGGGTCTCTTGCGCTCTCGAAATCAGTTCACCCAGGGTAGTCCAGAATCCCTGACTTATCCCAACAAGGACAAGTGGCCACCGTTGGTAGAAGACAATGTTTTGTCTATGCAGTGTTAATAGTTGAACTGACATACCCGTAATTGGCCTAGTGGAGCTACAAGACAACAGTACTGGCAGTCTGCTGAAAAGTTCTGCTAGCATGTACTCAAGACTTCTGCCTGGGTGTTGGTAAAGGCACCTGTAAGTGTTATTTGTGACCCTTGTTAGTGTGTTGCTGAAGTGTTCTGCCAGTGTGGTGTTGAAGGGAAGAGGTGGGGTGTTGGACACCGTGCCGATATTGCCCGTGTAGTGTTGAGTAAGGTGAATTCGCCGCAGTGAGGACCATACAATGTGGATGTTGTATAATATAGAAGACTCACTGGGAAGAGAAGAACAGTGCTGAATATATTATATTAGTGTCCTGTGTGAAAGTGACACTCGCTGTGTACATGTGTGTATATACAGCATATTGAAGATATTATATTGGTGAAGGTCGGCCGAGCGGACAGCACGCTGGATTTGTGATCCTGTGGTCCTGGGTTCGATCCCAGGTGCCGGCGAGAAACAATGGGCAGAGTTTCTTTCACCCTATGCCCCTGTTACCTAGCAGTAAAATAGGTACCTGGGTGTTAGTCAGCTGTCACGGGCTGCTTCCTGGGGGTGGAGGCCAGGTCGAGGACCGGGCCGCGGGGACACTAAAAAGCCCCGAAATCATCTCAAGATAACCTCAAGAAGGTATTAATTAGTATGGTTTACCTTCCCCTATATTCCTTGCATGATTACTTGTTACTGCCAATTCTTCATAACTTACTGGTACTATTAACTTTGGGTGGGATCAAGGAAGAGGAGGTACAGTATTAAGCCCATAAGCAGTGATTGAGAAAGACTCCGGTTAGTAGCTTGGTGTGGCTGTAAGAGCTATAATATTTCACAGGCATGTGGTTCAAGCAATGTTGCAAGACTTTTTTTTGATAGGAAACTAGTCTTCAGCCTGTACAGTTTTAAGAAATTTGTATTTATAATAGATAATAATTCTTAATTTTGTTTACTTTAATGAATTGGTCTATCATAATTCTTGGTTATTCTATACAATACATATCATAGGTCCTTCCACATGCCCCTCATTCCCCAGACAGTTCCTCCTGACACTCTCCTCTCTCCCGACAGTCCCTACCCTGAAACCACCCATCCTAACACCTCCCATACCCCACGGCTCAAGTCACTGCTACACGGGATTAATATGGTTTGGCCCGATGCACATCTACAGTGACCAGAAAAATCTTTGGTTTCCTGGATGTCTGTCCGGATATGGTGAAATTTGGCAGAAAGTTATGTGGACCTGATTTAGACTATGCTAGCCTGCACTAACCAGCCTTCTGTTACCTACATTGTTATCCGGATATGGGGAAGTTTTGGTAAAAAAAAATATCCGGCTGCGATTTTGGCCAGATAACCCAAATATGATGTTTAATGGAATTCGGATAAGCAAGTTCATACAGTATTATTCCTCCTAAATATAAACATATAGAAGTGTGTGTACATAATCAGTCTCGACCACTGTACAGAGAGAAAAAAACTTTTATACTTTTCTTTTAAGTACTAGTAATTTACAGGCCAAAAAATAATGTGTGCTCAAAGTTGTTATTGCCTGCCCACAACGTAAAAATGTTGTCAATTATTTTTTGTTTTCCAAAATTATTTGTTGGGTTATAATTACAAATTTTAGTGTCAAAATGTTTGCAAAATGAATCCTCTTCATTATAAGTGCAACAGTGATGAATATATGAACAAATCCACAAGGGCCGTGACGAGGATTCGAACCTGCTTCCAGGAGTATCCCAAACACTGCCTTAATCGACTGATGCATCACGTTATTGTGATCTCTGTGAGTGATGAATATATGTTTGTTTCAAGTGAGGGCCTCATGGGTGGGCAGGAAGCTCTCTGGATGGTCTACTCATGCCTTAGATATGTTCTATCCACACAATAATGACTATTTCGAAGAGTTTCAGAATGGTTAATGCAAAATAATAACTGGGCAACTGAAAAACAAAAATTTAGCAATCAGATGGCGTGTTTGTCATTAGAATGTTTACCATCAGAGTACAGATGACACGATTTAGCTTCGTCAGAACACGAGTGTTAAATACTTTTAAAGGCGATGATTAAGTATTTAGTCAGCCATCAGTGAATAGTTTTTTCTAAAAAGCTTCTGGCAAGAGAAAACTTTTGTTTTGATTTTTGAACAATTTCTGGCTGCATTGACATAATTTTGCACCAAAACAGTCATTGAATATGTGAATGTTTTCCTGGGAAACTGGAAGGCTAATTTGTGTTCCACAAGAATAAACCCTTTTTGCATGATGGGAAAAATCCAGCACAGAAGCTAATAAAAGGTTTTTATAGTGGGGTCCTCAGTAGCTTCTCGAGCTAAACACTTGTCTAGTCAAGCCTTAGGGAGATGCACCAGGCCTACTGCAGCCAGAACCACAATCTGGCTCTCTCTCTAAGGTGAAGGGAACTTAGGATAGCCACTTTAAATGGCCAGATACCACATGCTACTCTTTAGTGTGTGGTCTACCTAACCATTTACACTTTATCATGCAGTCTACCTTGATCTAACCTAAGCCACAAAATCTACCAGGCCATTTACACTTTAACATGTGATCTGCCTCAACCTAACCTAAACCACAACCAAGGTCTTGGTAGACAGGTCAGGTCATTACACACCTCCCTCACAGATTTTACCACTGTTTATGTTATTAAACTTTTACTTCCTACTCTTCTGATTATCTATGTCAAAGCTCCTCATCCTGTTCAAAAAGCTTATAGTTTAAGGTACAGTATTTGGATTGTAAGCTGTCCAAATTACAATCTTTGTAATTTGGACAGCTTACCTGTAGATGTAGTTGTATCTCTACAACTACATCTTGCTTCTTAATTAAAAAAATGTATAACCTTTTGCATGAAGTAAGTAAGTAAGTAATTATCAAAAGAAGGCACCAAACCGGGAAGGCTATGTAGCACCATCAAAGTGCGGAATAATCAGAGGGCGCTAAATATCACCAAGGATGCCAATACGAGAACAAAAACCTTTTGCATGAAATATATAACTGGTATATTATTCTCTCAACTAACCTCCCCCCCCTTAAAACATTATCACACTAATTTGTATTTTCTCTAGTATTTTGCAACATTTCTAAGTATGGTAATTGTCTTACTGCACTAGACAAGTCACCATTTACGTGGAATGCTGTATAACCAGCCATAAAAATTAGATATTGCAGTGACAACATTTGTTATAGTGTAGTGGAATAAGGTTTCCCTTGATGGTACACTGTGTTATGAATGATTGTCACTTAAATTTTCTTTTACCCTCTTTATCCTATACATTTTGTTTCATACTTTCCAGGCATGTGCTTCCCCACCCACCAAAAATGTAAAATATTGTACTGTACTGATGATAATGTATCGAGCTATTCTAGAATTTTCAATTAAGTATACTGTACATCTCTCTGTATTCACAAAAATACTTTTTTCCAATAAGTTCTTTAGATTTACATAAATATTAACATTGCCCAATGCTCACCTCTACAATCTCACCCGAGTACTGGATGTCACATTAAACACTTCTCTACCCCCTCCCCCTCTCACACCTCCACCTTGTGTACTTCACTAATAGCTCCATTGTAAGGTGAGCATACAGTCACTTCACATAATCCTACATCACCACTACAGCAACAACAAGAATAATTAGCTTGCCTCAAGATCTACATAGAATATTGTAGCATCTGATAACCACATAGTGATAAGCTACAACATTTTGAAAGGTATGCATACGGTTTCTTTGAAAAAAAATTCAAAATATAAAATAAACATACAATTCAGAAACACCTTCTCTCTCTACAAAGGCAATATTTATATCATGATAAAGTAAGTAAATGTGTATCAAAAGGAGGCATCAAGTTGAGAGGACAAAGTACAGATGATTTTCCATGGAAGAAATAAAGATTAATTAAATATATTTTGTTTCTCCATGATATTCTTAAAAGGACAACTTTACATTTTAACTTATGCACAAACAGTTAAAGTCATTTTAAATGTTTGTGAAGTATCTGGTTCCTAAAATACTTAAATACTGAAAAAAGATAAGAAAATAATGCCATAACTTGAGAGAGATAGAATACAGCTTTAGAAATACTGTATTTGTTAACGAAACTAAATTCTAGCTTTAATTCTCTCTCAATTCATATAATACTCTAGAATAGAAAATAGATGATTTTTAGGTGATAATGCCAAGAGTTAGTTTCGTTATTCCTTAACAGATTTAATACAATTTTCACACCTCTTATGGTGGTACCGACTAGACCAACTATGAACAAGTGTAACACTAGTGCCTAACATGTACTTAAAGCCCTTGTGAATATGCAGGACCCTCAACCTGACCCTGCTGGGCCTTACCCCTCTCATGTCAGATATTGAGGACAATATCAAATGCCAATGCATAAACTTTTAAGCCAAATTGCATTGTATTATGACTGACAGTCACCAACAATCAATTTGACTATGTGTTTGTGTCGATACTTTATAAGACCAATGTGACATGGCTAATGTTATCGGCATCATCAAAGCACCTTGCAATATTTCATCAATAAAAAGTTGTGTATAGGCCTTCTATTTACCATCATGAAAACAGAAAGATGTGTTGCTATTTTCACATACTGTACCATGTAAATAATACATACAATATATTATATAGACAAAATATCATAATTTTCTGTACTAGCATTGACAAATAAGTAACCTTATCACAGCATCAATAATAAAACTACTCCATCATAAACTTGAACAACAAAAATTCAACTATTAAAAAAAACAAGAAATGACAATTTAACAAATGTTCCAGTTCTGCCCAGACAAACACACTTTACATTTAAGGCATGTATACAATCACATGTATACTGTAGGATCACCAACACCATAGATAACTATGGTCTGGTGAACCAGAGCATTTCTCCACTATCCTTCACCAACACCATGGCTAATCAGGCTATTGTTATCTGGAAACTTGGGAAATAATTACAGTCCACAGTATGGGCAGCTCAACAATTCATAGCTATGCATCACCAAAATGCTAAACTTTACTAAGGCAGTCCCCCCCTTACCTGTGTAGTTTTAAATTACCACAGTAAATATAAATATTACTAGAAACTAGTGTGTCATCATTGGAAATCTTTCACAAATATTCATTAATTTAATTAGATAAACTATTAATGTGACTAGTGTAATTACAATTCTACACATACATCAGTTTACATATCTTCAGATCTTTGGAGTAATAACTGGTTTAGAGTTCATTCTATAATAATTTTATACAAGGACAGCTGCAGTTTATTGCCTGCTCATGCTGCTGCATTAATGGTTAGAGAATCACTGGGATGGAAAATACAACCATCAGTTTAAATTAAAGCAAAAGTGTAAAAAAAAAATTTCCACGGGTTCTCTCCCTTTTTAAAAGTTCCGAAACTTATTGACTAATGTTATTTCACATTAACCTCTAAACATGAGCACACAGTAATCACATTCCAATTAAAAATATCTTTTATTGTCAAGCACCAAATCATAGAATCTTGTAAGATGTTTAAAATATCAAGAAGCATTAAAATATCCAGCCAACAACATGATGACTTACAATGTATTATTCACCGGTCCTCAACCACTTCAGGTAACACCTCAACACAGTTGTGTGAATTAGGAGCTTCAGTGATGTGGCTGCTTGGGGTTAAGGCAGTACTGGAACCTGAGCGAGGAAGGAAAGCTTTCTCCAGTGTTCTTCGAAAAGGAGATTCCACTGTAGAAGCTGCGTTGGATTTATGGACTGTGAGACTGTCACGTGAGGAATGCCTCACACCATTCCTGTAAAATATGATTATAAAATTTAAAGATGACAGAAGCATTGTATGATAAATGGTATACCAGTGAAATGTCTAATGTTATCACACTAACACATCAATACTACCCACAACATGCCAACCTGCTCACACAACAGGGACATGTACAGACAAAATGTTCACAGTTGGAACAAGCTAAATGAGGTGGTGGTGGAGGCCAAAACCGCCAGTAGTTTCAAAGCGTTTTACGACAGAGTACTGGGAAGACGGGACACCACGAGCGGAGCTCTCATCCTGTAACTACACTTAGGTAATTAGTGATGTACAAACTATAGACCAGAATTTAGGATATGTTTGCCTAGCTATGAACTAAATAAAATAGGAGATGGACTAATGAAGCACTCTGAATAACCAAAATTTATATAAGTATCAACATGGGGCTCAAGAAAGGTACATTCTCTCAAAATATTAAATATAATTCAATGATAAGCTTAATTAGATGAAGCAGGAAACAGAAGGATAGATGGACTACATATTCTTAATTTTTAAAGATGATTTGATACTGTCCCATCAAGGAGACACAAGTACCAACTAGAAAAACAAGCTGGAGTAACCGAGATAACAATTAAAACAGTGCCAGTGTCTGGCAAGGCTCATCCATAGTACTAACATACTGCATATAGACAGTACGTACAACACAGGTGGCGGAAAGGAGGGTATACTGCACAAATAGGCAACATTAAGCTATTCGTTGAATGTGGCAAACATTGTTTCGGTAAAGAAACAGACATGATGAAAGGTCACCAGGTGTATTTTAAACAACAGACTCCTGAGATTGGTAGAATACCAAAAACAGCAAAAGCAGGAACAGAATGAGAGAACAAAGATGGAAATTTGAAACTCGGAGAAGTTAAAGGGAGTACAGAGAAATAAGATTTTGTAGTATAGTATAGTGGAATAAGTCCAAAGGGGAGGAAATAAAAGCTTCTATAACTCCATTCATAGTATTAAAAGTAGGTAAGATAAAGCTCAAAGACAATGGGAGTCATTGCATCAGACAATCAACAACTGGGTCAGAGGCAATATTCACATTAAAGTATACCACCAAACATGAAATTCCAGCATATTTATAAAGGAAAACGATTGTAAGGCACTGGGATACACAACAAGAGGTGTAACCCACTTCTCGGCATATATACACCGAGAGTTTACTTTAGTCCTGGACACTGTTCAAGGACTAGAGTATTCTTGCTGGTTGGTCAGTAAGCCGCTGCCTTAATAACCTTCCATAAGTTGATAGGCATTCAGCCCAACACCAAATCTTGGAACTGGACATGCACAAAAATCAACTATTGAAATAGCTAGGAAGAAAGAAAAGAACCAACTGGTAATATTAGATGTTACCATGTAAAGATATTAATGTTAGACATTAAGATATAATGTTAGATATAAATATATATAAACTGTTAGACCCAGTGAAATATCACACCAAGTTTTGGTCTTCAGATGCCCAACATCCAACAATAAAAACTATTAGTAAATCATGCTAAAACAATAAAGCATTTATTATGGACATTAATTTCGTAAAATGCAAACTATATTTTACAGTGAAACATGCATCAATGCAGAACCAAATATAATCTGACAAATTAAAAAAAATCACTAGGATATAATACTGACAAAACATGCAATCTAACCTTCGTTAAAATTGTAATGACTAGGAAAAACTGCATTAAAAACTCTAATGGAGATTAATTACAGAACTGTACTACATTAATTACAAATGCAATAAATGGAAATTCAACTTCTACCCACCTTCTCCTACATAAAAAAAAATACAGAGAAACTTACCTTGAAGCGGATATAACATTGCCATTATTCAAGCCACCCTCGATGGTCTTCTCACATCTGAAAGTCATTCCTCATTCTGATGATATGTGGTACAGAAATCAGTAAGCACATAACTAACTACAGTACGTGTACTCTACTATGTACAGTTACAACCAAGTATTTGTACTTGTTCATCTATGCATCACATTAATTTCATTCCTAACAAGTTGGAGTATATGTGCACTAAGCCAGGAGACACACGGCACCACTACAATCATTGAATCACTTCTTTAAACAAGCGAAGCTTAAGGAGACGAAAAACATCAAGTACTGTACATATGTATAGAAATGTTATTACAGTCTCATGATTACTTCTTTCTATCTTTCTAATGATCAGTGCCTGCAGGGATCGATCTAGACCACCACCTCCCAACACTTCTCCAGATTGTCTCAAGCTGTCATTCAGTTGTCAAAACTCATGCTCAATTGACTCCTACACTAACAACAAAATTAATTCTCATAAATTAAAGACTACAAAACTGACAAACATTTTATTGGTCAGTGCTCCATGCTAAGTCAGTTTTGTTAAAATATCATGTACTCCATACCCCTCCTGTAAGTAGTAAAGATTACAGATATGCACAATGGACTCGGGAACTAAACCCTATATGTTCCCTCCTCATTACTGTACTACAAGTTTTGTATGTTAATAGGTGGCCATGACTTAAACTTGTCATGAAAGTGTTGCGAGAGTGGAACACGAAATGCCCAGCTAACACAAGAGACAACTGGTGAATGAAACGGCTTAACTGGAAACCACTAATGCTTGGTCCGAGAATATCAAAATTTAATTCACTATCAAAATCTCTGAAGTATATAACTTGCTTTGAAACTATGAAGTTGTGTGTACAGTACTTGAATATTTCCCCAAAGTCAGTAGCTGTCACATATTATCCACCCTTATGACCAGCAGTTAGATCGATCCCTGTGCATTAATCAAAATTTTACAACTAGTGGTTCATAACTTGACTGATTCTTAGCATTGGTATAATAAACTAACAAATCTTTGTTAAATAATTGACAATGGCAGTTTTACTGAGATACGTATGCACAGTAGGCATGTATACACTACATGCATGTGTGCACAAATATGTAAAAAATGTGCCATCAACCAGCAAATCACAGCACTGATCACTCTTACCTTATACTCGATGTGACCACTTCCCCAATCCATCCCCCACTGTGCTTTACCCTTGCTAAATATATTATATTCATCTGATCTGTCTCCTGAACCTTGTATCAATTCTCAATTAACCCAGTACTAGAAGTATTAGGATAATTAACCTAAAGAAAATGCTAATGAATTTAAAAGTATGTAACAATTATTTGACCAAGCTTTCCAAACAATAAGTACTGTACTGAATGAAGAAAGCTCATAAAACTGAGAAAAAATTGCTAAAGCAAACTAAAATTCACAATCACATAAATGGAACTTTTAAATAAAGGTGCAATATGGGATAGCCAAACCAGCACCCATGCTTGCTAAAGGCATGCTACTATCACACCATAGAATAAACGTTTCATAGTTGGATGTCCTACTACCCATACCATTGTGGAAGGCAACAGGTGTATGTAAAAAATGAATTTGTTGGTACCAGACAAGTGCCCTCCACACTGTAATATGGACAATAGGGGACTACGATAATTCATTTCGAGACCTCTCCCCTTTGCAGTATGACAATGATAAAACATCCTAAAATTTGAGGATAAAAATAATATATGGATTTTCAATTAGATAATCTCACATTGATAATCAGCATAAATTCCATTTTATCAACTGCAAATCCATCTTGACTGGGAAAATGAATGATACAAATAAGCAACTCGAAGTTTAAAGTCAAATCATTATGGGCTGGATCAAGTTTATTTTCAGTGACTGTTCCAGTACAGTACCATTAAAGAACTTAAAGAACTGCAGAGCTATTTGAAAAGTTCCTTGGTGCCTTGAATGTCTTCTGTCTAGCCCAAATGGCACCATGGTCTTACTTCAAGTCAATTGAATGCAAAACCTCAGAAATTCATTGTTTATATATTATTTGTGTGCAAGTACAGTATATGCAAAAATGTTTTCTATTATTTGTAGGAAAGAAAAAGCAGGAAAGAAAGAATGAAAAAAAAAAAATTATGATGAATTTGAAAGTTTGGAAAGTTTGAAAGTTCAGAAAGAGGCTTCCATAATTTTGAGGTTTTACTACACATACTGAACTGTATAGTGAACAAGTTGAGTGGAAAAATTACTCACATGCTAAGAAGAGCCAGGTTCAAGTCATGTGTGGAGCCATGACAGTATTCCTCATTTCCCTGAAGATCACATTCTAGTCTGCAAAGATTAACATACACTAATCAGTTGTGAGAACATTCGTCTAAAAACGAAAGTTCTGAATTGTGATGAAAATCAACCATACAAAAAGCATAAGCAAACTTTTGGCACTGAGCAACAGATGAAAGTACAGCAATATGGGATACTTTCCAATCAACGCAAGACATCGTCCTAGAGGCGTCGCTCTAATGATTGTGACATTATTTGAATACTTCTCCCAGAAAATGGCATTTACACTATACAGTATACTGAACATATTATATTCAAAATATAAATGATGTATGAAATACAATGACACCATATTTATTTGAGCATTGTACTTGCCAAAATAGTGGATAATTCACTTTACACAAAGCTGATTAGCTAAGTATGGTGATGGTGTTAGATTATTGAGAGAGTAGAGTGGAAAGTAAATAGCTAGCCTTAGTCAGTCCTAACTTTTGTGATCGTTATCTACTGTCTTTACATAAATAAACACTACCTACTTTAATTTTCCCTTTATTTATAATAAAATGGCAAGGATAGTTTGATGAAATCTGCATATTTATGTCTGAGGGAGAGGCAGCAGCATTAAGGCAGCTAGCCAGTCTGTCATGTCTCTCACGTAAGGTTACTTGCAAAGTATGAAAACACCCGTAAAGTCTAACACACCCTGCTATGGTATCTTATATTATTAGATTTTAATTCTTAGTGGATCTCAAAAGAAACTAGTCACCAAACATTGGGATACCAGGCATCTGTCTGAAAATTCTGAATGCTAGTCTCCGGACAACCATGCGGCTGGACATTCAGGATTCAGGACTTAATTTAGGTGTGTTGTCTTATAAGATGGGCATGAGGGGAGGTATAATATAGAACATAATATACAACACCATCTTTTAATATTTCTACTATAAGTTTTACAATAAAACGAATAAGTAATTTTTAGGCCACTGAGAATGTTGATAACTTTCTAAAATGTCCAGAGACCTGTGATTTCACCCTAGTCAGCAAGTCATTGCTTGATGGTGGAGTGAGAAATTTTCAGTCTACCTACTGTAAGTTGCATAATAAGACCAGCTGCAAAGGTACTTGTTATAGTGGGGGGTAAAAGTTAACAAGGCTTGAAAAATCTGTCAATGTCTGGGACAGATATTAGGCTCTGATGCAGAAAGCAACCTTGGGGCCTCAAGTAATATTACATTTCTCAATGTTTGGAATTCATAAAACTCTAGAAAGTATCTGCTAAACTACTATTTTTTTGGAGTTGTCTTGCAAGTCACGCTTACAGTTATTAGCATTTACCACTGTTTAAAGGCACAAATATACAAGACTTAAAATAAATCTAATCTTAAAATACACAATATAGTAGCACCAGTAACATGGGGTAAACTAACAATGATTACCTGAATAACAGGTTAACTGGCACATTCCACCTCTGTAGCAGCTAATGCAACAGAGCTTATAAATTTTAAATGTTTCAATACAGGGGGATATTGTTATGACAAATTTAAATTTTTTTTGTCTGGCTACTAACCTGAGAGCTTTGACAAGTGTGTGTTGCTGTGCCATGAGAAAGTTGACCTGTGACTGCAACACAGCAATCTCCCCATCTCTCTCCCGCAGCCGTATCTGAAGATCAGCAATACTGTCTTCCAAGGTTTGACACATTGCCTGCAAGAGCAAAAATGAGCTTTTGATTTTGTCATTTTTTCAATGGGAGTGACATACATCCGTGTTTTATAGTATTCTGTAAATAAATTTGTTTCAAACTCTTTCACAAATACATAAATTATATATTATACACTGTATATATACTAGAGGTCAGGTGTTCAAGGTGCCTAGTGTCCAAGGTGAATGAAATGTTACATTCACAGTAATGTGAATAAACTGTTCACCACCACACATACACAATACCAGTACTGTATGCATATTTGCATAAACCTTGCGTAAATCACCTGCACGTATTACTATAAAGCAACGTGCATTTTGCTCTTGTGTCATCTTCCAAAAATTAGTGTACAGCATTGTATCTCTGAAGTATCTTAAATAAATATATATTGCTTATGCCTTATTTTAATATTCTTAATTTTGAATGTGTACACTACATCCAAAAGCATGTGAAAGTTTCACAAGAGAAGACCCAATATTATACATGTTTGAGTTGGTCACTCCAGTGCCAATTATCATCGAGAGTATGAAATCCTTTTTTTTACATTTTAACAAATAAATAATAACCCTCATTGACTATTTTGCATGTTTTTAAATGTTAATGAATTTGAACTACAGTAAACAGTGACAGTTTAAACAGAATTATCCTTCCAAGACTGGGAAGACTGGTTAAATCATTACTGATTAACACTTTCGTCTAGCAGCAATGCAGTCTGCGTCAATAAATAAATTGACGTATGTTGCGTCAAAATGTAAAATATTTGTTAAAATTATATTTTTTATCCGATCATTATGGGACTAGCTTTAAAATGCGGGCCTTTAGGTTGTGAACAATTTGATACCAACATGAATGACGTAACTCGAAAATTAAGGTCAGAACACTGGAATGAATACCTATGTTAGTGTGAGTGTGCACTCCAAGGAAACTCCAGGCCCACCTTGGGGTGGATTAGGGCACATGCGCCATGTGCACAAAAGTGTTAATGATTTTCCACTAGACAATCGTCGAACTTTCTACAATAATAAGTAGCCATCGATGTCACATGTAAAATGAATTTTTATGTTAATGAAATTTTAATAAAGAATGCTGGTAGTTGTTAGCAAACATTGACATGCGGTAAGTCATTTTGTCGTGGACAGGAAGCCTGTGTGTGTATATATATATACATACTTCAGGCTTTTTTCAAGGCCCCTCCTAGGTTTAACCTTCCTTCCCAGGATGGAATCCCACAACAGATGACAAACTCATGGATACCTATTTACTGCTAGGTGAATAAGAGGCATTACATGAAAAGAAATGTGCAACCATTTCTGTCCTATCCTGAAATCGAACCCAGAATTCACAACTGTAAGTCAAGAATGAAGCAAACTGTACTTTACAAGACCCAGCTCGCCCCTTTCAGTAGGTTGGTAACTCTTGTGTTTTGACTGCTGCCAATTAGCAATATATACTGTATTGTAGTTCGACTCCAAAACCATCAAATAGTCAATAATATTGTAATACTATTGTAGTAACTGAGAAAATTAAAATTTTGAGAGACCCACTACTGTCAGATATTTGATGGTATAACAACTATAATTAAGGTTTACATTAAAACTGAAACAATCCTATAAACCTATCCTCTTTCATTATTACTGGTAGACAATTCATAATGTAAACAGTACAGACCCGACTTTCCTCCAATGTGTCATGGGCACCAGGCGGATCATCTAGACAAAAGAAGTCACGTACACATTTTTTCTCACGAATTCTAGCATGACCTAAAACAAACAAAAACAATGTTGTAATAAGTCACAAAAAAATTCTTTTCATTCATATACAGTATCATGAATTTTACTTCAGAGGTAACATTTAGCTAAATAACTGTACTATATATATCAGTGGCATTTTATATTATATACACTGTACTGTATAACTAATTCCAGTACTGTACCCTGTTGAATAATTAAGCCTAAAATGAGTAAGTGAAGTTGGTGATTTCTGATGCATGTAGATGATGCAGTACTCTTGTCTGTGTGTGACTGGAATTTATGCAGACTAGCTTACAAATTTATTAACGTGTACGAGAGAAGACTTGTTACATCAAACATTGAATGGACCATTCAGAAGAGTATGTGCTGCATAGACTGCCTTTCCAAATTTAATTTAATCTTACCAATTATATTATCTATGAAAGCCTGTAATCCAAGTTGTCGGTCTTCAAGGAAAATGGGGTCAAAGTTGTCGCCAAACCATCGTTTTGGTGGTAAGGCAAATCGAAGACCTGGAAACTCTGCTCTTAACTGTGAGAATAGAAATAACTTAAAATTAGGAATGCATTCAAACCTGCCACTTGCCTATCAGAAGCACTATATTTTCTGGCATATAAGAAGCACCTATTTTACTGTAAAGGATATTTTATGGAAAAACTATTATAGCAAGTTCCACCCTACATTTATTGCAAGTGATGCTCAAGTAGTTTTGTAGGGGAAAACATGATTTTGTGCAATTTATAATTGATATACTCAGCTGATGACTGACTAAAAATGCCAATCAATGCTCCTGTTTAGATAGTACTTTTGGTATTCATGTGGACCATTACACATATACTGATGTAATGGACAATTAGAAACTAGAATTTGGTACTATTCACTATATAGTCTGAAAAAAGCTAAAAACCAAACTTAAATATTCTTAGGCCTAGTATAACACATATACTGTATATACTATATTAGGCTTCAGATGTGTGTATTAGGCCCAGGATGGTTAGGTTAAGTTTTACGTGCGACATAAATACAAAACCTTTTCCCGGTTTGTCCAACTCAAATACAGGTAGTCTCAAATTCTACTTTCTAATTACTCATGGCATTATTATTTATTTACAGTATTTACTATGCAACATTGTGTCAATATTTATCAAGTGTATCAAGTGTTTCTGCCCGAAACGCTGCGCGTACTAGTGGCTTTACAAGAATGTAATTACTATGCTATGTATCCTCACAATCCCAATGTACCTTATTGTATATATATCAATAAATAAATAAATAAATATATGTACGATAGTACTTATAGTAATGATGTGGACTATCTAAACAGGAGGATGGACTGAAAAATACACAGCCTATTAATGGAAAAAAAGATTATAATTATATAATGCTTCAGTAACCATTTACACAATTCCTTACAGTGATGCCTAATGATACAAAAGCTAAGCAGCATACATATTTCACCTGTAATGTTTTCCATTACAATTTCAGATGCTATCAATTTATCTTTAGTCCTATGTTAGTAACCATGGGTATTGAAACACCCCAAACGCCGGTCATGCGTGACTCACTCTGCTCCCAATTTTGATTACACAAACTTCTCTTATCAGTCACACATTCTAGGTACTTATCTTATAATGACCAACCACTGCCACTGTTTCACCATTCACATTTATTTCCTTCACTCTGGTAAAATAACTAACATTTGCACTGAATCTGACAAATAACTCAAAATTTAACACAGAAATACATAATTTTATTGCTATTTTATAGTTGTAAAGTTAAGAAAACTAGTCATGTTAACCTAAGTTTTCTGTGGTAAAACCTGGACAATTTAAGGTTCAATGATCATACAAATAACTGCAAATATTCTTTAAATTTATTTTTTTTGTATCAAATTATCAAAGCTATTTAATTAAACTCAAACTCACCCTTTTGTTAAGGCGAACAAAATCTGTGTAGCGGCGAAATACAAACCACTGATCCCCGGTGGGCTGATGGAACACTTGTATCTTGAATACCTGAGAAAATATTCCCATCATTGTAAATTATACAAGCAATTTTTTCTAAGAATAGAGTATTATACTGTACTTCACTACACATTATTTTACCAAAACAAAAAGTCTAACTTTGATTGTATAGTATGCTACTATATATGAAAGGCTTATGCATAGTCAGGGAAGATCAATATTCCACAAAAGCTGTGATCCATTCACACAACCATGTCGAATGATACTGGAGGAAGGAAGCCACTGGAGAATACTCGGTCTAACACACAATTAATCTAGAAGGCTCATTAGGGTGGTCAAAATAGCCTAAGTTACTCTATCCCTTTGAGATGTATCTTTTTCTTGTCTTAATAAACATACTTAAACTTGAAGAAGGCTCATTCAAAACCCTTCCAAGTGCTACATGGCATCACAAGGATGCCATATAGCATTTAGATGCCCTTACATGGCATCACAGAAACCTGTTCATTAATAAAAACTAAAATACAAACATACAAATACCACCCCCTCCCCCCCCCAAAAAAAAACATACTTACTGTAAATCTAGAGCGCTCTTCCAGGACTTCATACCCAACTATAGGCATGCGGTAGAGACAGGTGTTTGTATTGTCAGTATTTTGTGAAAAACCAAGTGAAGCGAGAGGACCAGCAAGTGGAGAAGAATCTGTTGCTTGTCCTGTTAAAAAAATAAAAGAAAATATAAAAATTACAGTAAGTGAATATGAGTTTAACAAAAAGTATAAAGCATTGATGTAATAAGATACTGAACCCCCTTTCTTAGTGGCCATAGTAACTCCTAGATGCTTTATAGGCGTGTAGTAACTCCTAGGTATATAAAGACCCCCAACAATGCTATTATACCTCTGGACTTTTATAGGTATTCTGAACACAAGGATTAGAATCCGGTATGTTTAAAGATGGAGAGAGCAATGGATTACAGATTGATTCGAAACAGAAGAATTTCCCAGAAAGTACAGGCATAGCAAAACAAACCATGAATCTTGATAAGAAAGAATAAAGAAACCAAGCATACAGTAATTTGCCAATGGTAAACAATCATTATCTTAATGCACAGTGCACCACTATGGACAGAGGACACTGGGTTCTTGGGCCATCATGCAGAAAGGCAGGTTTGCCAGGCACAAGGGAAGCATCTTAAGTTTCCCACAGTTGAGATTCTGTACACAGCTATTACAGTGCTAAGCAACAGATGGGGGGGAAACTCTGCCCATAAAAACAATGTTAAATCTAGTTTTATTTTTATGGCATCGATTGTTTACGAACCTGAATCGGTGGTATGGTCCGAGCTTGGTGTAGAATCTGTGGAAGTGAGATTTGTATTGGAGCCGTACCATCCCCTTCGACCCTCAGTCCTGAAAGACAATTGCTGAAATAAATATGCAGTACTTCAGGAGGTGCAAAAATTCAATAACATTTATACTAGTGTGCACAAGAAAATAATACATCAATATTTTATCAAGTACAATACAAAATCAGATTAAAGACCTAAGCATGAGAATGGACATTACACTAGTACAGAAAAGCATGAAAATGGACATTACACTAGTACAGAATATATATATTTGGCAAACTGAAGTTTCCATTGAGGTACAGTATCACCTAACTAGATTTTAAACAGTGCACAACTGTTTTTTTTTTAGTTTCATAAATTATGTGGATTTTGGCTAGGTATAGTATTCAATTTTTTTTTTTTTTATATCTTTTGTTTCCTTTTTGAGATATGATTCATGAAGAAGCTTTAACCATACAATACACCATGAGAAAATATCTGTGCTACTGAAATACCTCACTGGAATTGGGCAATGATTGTAAAGGTAATGATCTGACATCCTAAAACAATCTAGAGGACAGTAAAAATTGTGATTTTTAGTTAATAGGGTCTGAGGGGAGAGAGAGAGAGAGAGAGAGACTAGAAGTGTACAATATAAATTATATTATATTATAAAGTAAAAATTTTCAAAAAGAAATAGAATTTATTTGAAGGGTACTCAGAGTACTTGCATTTGTCAGCCCATTAAATAGAAGAAAACATTATAAAGGCAGGTCGAGATTATCCTCACATACATATAGAAGAGATCTAACATATGGTAATGAGGCCTCATTTTGGGACAGCTTGAAATATTAAAGAATTGCACTAAACATTTTATTCACCGACTCACCGTTCCTCTTGAGGAGGTGCAAGATAACTTGTATTCCTGTTACCATTCATCGTAATGTGGCCATCATTATCCACCACATGATTGTTATTGGGTTTAGTTGTCGTAGAATCACAATTTAAAGCTTCCCTCGAGGAACTGCGAGAGGCTGCTCTTGAGTGTAATGGTGTCCCGTCTCTAGATGCTGCCAAGCTTCGGTTCACTGCCACTCGTTGAGCCATTGTGTTTATCACTCCTTCGACTGTTTAAAAATACATAAAATTTACATCACAAGAAAGGCCTAAGATATCTAGGCCTATGTCTTACAGATGACTGTAGGGTAAGATAGTCTAGATACACAGAATGACCAGATAGAATGCTGCTGAATTCTTAGCCCAAATTTATACTAATGTTGAGACTAAGATCACTGCATTAATTTTATTACAACTTTTTCTATGCACGTGAAAATAAAACTTTAATACAAAATGTGAGAGTACTGAAGTTAGTGAGGCCAGTTCATGGAAGGGGCTCATGGAAGCCCTTCAGACGACCGTCAGTGTCACATGATCCCCAGTAACTGCGTAATCAAAATGCTAATAAACTATTCCTAACGCAAGAAAACAACAACTCAAACCAAGTGCGGATACTTTTTTTTACAGTTTAATATACAAAGTTTGCGCAGAGAACAGTAGTAATGAAATTAAAAAGGCCACGGAATAACAGGAAAGAAATGAGATTCGCTTGTTGGCGTCTCCAGTACTACTAGCCACCATGACGGCACCCACCGTACTATCCCCACGTTTATAACGTAACACTCACCATGAGGCTGGTCAGGACTGGGCGATCATGAGGCAGCACTGGGAAAAATGAAGCTGGTGACATCACACTCCAGACGTCGTCACCATCTCCCTCCCATCACTGATGCATCACAATCACTTCTGTGGAAACCGTCACTATTATTTCTCCACTATCTCTCCTACTCTGAGAGTAATTGCGTCTTTGTTCGCAGTAAACATAACTATATTAACGCTATAAAAATATAATTTTTGGAAAGTGAACTGTGTTTATTTTTAAATTGCTTAAACGAGTAAATATTTCTTCCGTATTTGTTCACCAGCTGACCCTGAGTCATAGCTTTGTAAACAAAGCACATCCGAGCCTATTTCCAGTCTACATTATGTATAATACAATAATAAGAAATTAATGATATTTTTTTTATTATGCAGCTAATGCATGGCGTAGTTATAGAGAATGTATTAATTAATATGCGTTATTGTGTACACAGTAGCTGGAGCGCCTCCACTTTCCCCCCCCCCCAACAAATTTAAGCACAGTTTTTTGTTCATTAACAAGCTTAGGCATACACATCAATGTGCTGCTACCCTAGTGTAGATATTTTGATATGATTTTACAATATAAAAGATGTAATGCCAAACTTATTTAATTCATTTAATTGTATAAGGATAAATCGCCTTGCATATCTGAAAAATACTTTTGTATTATATAATACACTCATGTGCCATCTTATTCACAATTTAAACTTATTTTCAGTTTCTATTGGGCATTTTATGATCTTAGAAGACGAGAACAGAACCGAACACACGCCAGTGCATGTGTGTTTTATATTTGCGTTTTTTTTATAGAAGATCTTGATAATCTACAACTGTGAAGCCGTGGAAGGATTCCACACCCATTATGCTTTATACAGTAAATATTGGTACTCACCTAACTGTGATTGCGGGGGTTGAGCTTTGGCTCTTTGGTCCCACCTCAACTGTCAATCAACTGGTGTACAGATTCCTGAGCCTACTGGGATCTATCATATCTACATGTGAAACTGTGTATGGAGTCAGCCTCCACCACATCACTTCCTAGTGCATTCCATTTATTAACTACTCTGACACTGAACAAATTCTTTCTAACGTCTCTGTGGCTCATCTGGGTACTAAGTTTCCACCTGTGTCCCCTTGTTCGTGTTTCACCCGTGATGAAGAGTTTGTCAGTGTCCACCCTGTCAATTCCCCTGAGAATTTTGTAAGTGGTTATCATGTCTCCCCTTACTCTTCTGTTTTCCAGGGATGTGAGGTTCAGCTCCTTTAGCCTTTCCTCGTAGCTAATTCCTCTCAGTTCCGGGACGAGCCTAGTGGCATACCGCTGAATCTTCTCTAACTTTGTCTTGTGTTTAACTAGGTATGGACTAGGCTGGAGCTGCATACTCCAGGATTGGTCTTACATAAGTGGTATACAGGGTCCTGAACGATTCCTTACAAAAGTTTCTAAAGGCAGTTCTTATGTTGGCCAGTCTAGCATATGCCGCTGTGTGTGTATATATATAAACCGAAGCCCGACCATGCACAACCCTTAGCACAAGTGACACCCCCGGAGCCCGACCAGTTAAGTAACCGGAGCCCGACCAGTTATGTAACCGGAGCCCGACCAGTTATTTAACCGGAGCCCGACCAGTTGTGTAACCGAAGCCCCACCAGTTGTGTAACCGGACCCCCTCCAGTTGTGTAACTGCAAGCCTAGCAAGTATAAATCTCATTCAACCCCCACCAAGTTAAACAGCCTAGGAGCCCAACCAAACTCCATTCCTAGCTCTACCAAACAAAAATCTCTTTAGCCCTACCTAAAACTTTCCATTTGCCCTAGAAATCAACTATGGAGTCATAGCAAACATAAAATTGAGCAATGCACGAAAAAAGAAACCAAGATTTCTAGCAAACATATAACCACAGAACCCTAGTAAACAAACCTGGAGCACAACCATGCACGAACCGGAGCCCGACCATGCACAACCTGAAGCCCAAATGACACCCCCGGAGCCCGACCAGTTGTGTAACCGGAGCCCAAACCAGTTGTGTAACCGGATCCCGACCACTTATGTAACCGCAAGCCTAGCATAAACGAACCAAACAATTCAAAACAAACAACAGCAAACAAACGACATCAAACAAACATCTGAAGCACAACCATGCATGAACCGAAGCCTGACCATGCACAACCCTTAGCCCAAGTGACACCCCCGGAGCCCGACCAGTTGTGTAACCGGACCCCGACCAGTTATGTAACCGCAAACCTAGCATAAACGAACCAAACAAACAATTCAAAAACATCAAACAAACAAACGAAACCTGAAGCACAACCATGCACGAACCGAAGCCCGACCATGCACAACCCTTAGCCCAAGTGACACCCCCGGAGCCCGACCAGTTAAGTAACCGGAGCCCGACCAGTTATGTAACCGGAGCCCGACCAGTTATTTAACCGGAGCCCGACCAGTTGTGTAACCGAAGCCCCACCAGTTGTGTAACCGGACCCCGACCAGTTGTGTAACAGAAACCCCTCCAGTTGTGTAACTGCAAGCCTAGCAAGTATAATTCTCATTCAACCCCCACCAAGTTAAACAGCCTAGGAGCCCAACCAAACTCCATTCCTAGCTCTACCAAACAAAAATCTCTTTAGCCCTACCTAAAACCCTCCATTTGCCCAAGAAACCAACTATGGAGTCATAGCACACATAAAATTGAGCTATGTACGAAAAAAGAAACCCAGATTTCTAGCAAACATATAAAGACAGAGTCCTAGTAAACAAACCTGGAGCACAACCATGCACGAACCTAAGCCCGACCATGCACAACCCTTAGCCCAAGTAACACCCCCGGAGCCCGACCAGTTAAGTAACCGGAGCCCGACCAGTTATATAACCGGAGCCCGACCAGTTATTTAAACCGGAGCCCGACCAGTTGTGTAACCGAAGCCTCACCAGTTGTGTAACCGGACCCCGACCAGTTGTGTAACTGCAAGCCTGGCATAAACGAACCAAACAAACAATTCAAAACAAAACATCAAACAAACATCTGAAGCACAACCATGCACGAACCGGAGCCCGACCATGCACAACTCTTAGCCCAAGTGACACCCCCGGAGCCCGACCAGTTAAGTAACCGGAGCTTAAACCAGTTGTGTAACCGGACCCGACCAGTTATGTAACCGCAAACCTAGCATAAACGAACCAAACAAACAATTCAAAAACATCAAACAAACAAACGAAACCTGAAGCACAACCATGCACGAACCGAAGCCCGACCATGCACAACCCTTAGCCCAAGTAACACCCCCGGAGCCCGACCAGTTAAGTAACCGGAGCCCGACCAGTTATATAACCGGAGCCCGACCAGTTATTTAAACCGGAGCCCGACCAGTTGTGTAACCGAAGCCCCACCAGTTGTGTAACCGGACCACGACCAGTTGTGTAACCGAAACCTTACCAGTTGTGTAACTGCAAGCCTAGCATGTATAAATCTCATTCAACCCCCACCAAGTTAAACAGCCTAGGAGCCCAACCAAACTCCATTCCTAGCTCTACCAAACAAAAATATCTTTAGCCCTACCTAAAACCCTCCATTTGCCCTAGAAACCAACTATTGAGTCATAGCACACATAAAATTGAGCTATGTACGAAAAAAGAAACCCAGATTTCTAGCAAACATATAAAGACAGAGTCCTAGTAAACAAACCTGGAGCACAACCATGCACGAACCGAAGCCCGACCATGCACAACCCTTAGCCCAAGTAACACCCCCGGAGCCCGACCAGTTAAGTAACCGGAGCCCGACCAGTTATATAACCGGAGCCCGACCAGTTATTTAAACCGGAGCCCGACCAGTTGTGTAACCGAAGCCCCACCAGTTGTGTAACCGGACCCCGACCAGTCGTGTAACCGAAACCCTACCAGTTGTGTAACTGCAAGCCTAGCAAGTATAAATCTCATTCAACCCCCACCAAGTTAAACAGCCTAGGAGTCCAACCAAACTCCATTCCTAGCTCTACCAAACAAAAATATCTTTAGCCCTACCTAAAACCCTCCATTTGCCCTAGAAACCAACTATTGAGTCATAGCACACATAAAATTGAGCTATGTACGAAAAAAGAAACCCAGATTTCTAGCAAATCCATAAAGACAGAGTCCTAGTAAACAAACCTGGAGCACAACCATGCACGAACCGAAGCCCGACCATGCACAACCCTTAGCCCAAGTAACACCCCCGGAGCCCGACCAGTTAAGTAACCGGAGCCCGACCAGTTATATAACCGGAGCCCGACCAGTTATTTAAACCGGAGCCCGACCAGTTGTGTAACCGAAGCCCCACCAGTTGTGTAACCGGACCACGACCAGTTGTGTAACCGAAACCTTACCAGTTGTGTAACTGCAAGCCTAGCAAGTATAAATCTCATTCAACCCCCACCAAGTTAAACAGCCTAGGAGCCCAACCAAACTCCATTCCTAGCTCTACCAAACAAAAATATCTTTAGCCCTACCTAAAACCCTCCATTTGCCCTAGAAACCAACTATTGAGTCATAGCACACATAAAATTGAGCTATGTACGAAAAAAGAAACCCAGATTTCTAGCAAACATATAAAGACAGAGTCCTAGTAAACAAACCTGGAGCACAACCATGCACGAACCGAAGCCCGACCATGCACAACCCTTAGCCCAAGTAACACCCCCGGAGCCCGACCAGTTAAGTAACCGGAGCCCGACCAGTTATATAACCGGAGCCCGACCAGTTATTTAAACCGGAGCCCGACCAGTTGTGTAACCGAAGCCCCACCAGTTGTGTAACCGGACCACGACCAGTTGTGTAACCGAAACCCTACCAGTTGTGTAACTGCAAGCCTAGCCAGTATAAATCTCATTCAACCCCCACCAAGTTAAACAGCCTAGGAGCCCAACCAAACTCCATTCCTAGCTCTACCAAACAAAAATATCTTTAGCCCTACCTAAAACCCTCCACTTGCCCTAGAAACCAACTATGGAGTCATAGCAAACATAAAATTGAGCTATGTACGAAAAAAGAAACCCAGATTTCTAGCAAACATATAACCACAGAGCCCTAGTAAATAAACCTGGAGCACAACCATGCACGAACCGG